TTCTTATTTTCTTTTCCTTGATTACTGTGGTATGATCCATCTCCCCCATTAATGAATCTGTCCTGAACGCATATTCAGGAGAACTGAAGAGCAGGGTATATTAAAGCTTACTGATAAGCGATATGTATTGTCTAGAACACTTCTACTACAATTTAATATACTCTTGTTTTTAACCATTTTCAAAAATTTACTGTCCAGAGAAACTTATTATTGAACCCAACACATCTGACACTGAAATATTGTCACTGTAAAGTAACTTGAGCATGTACACACACCAACCAAAGTTCTAATAAGCTACACTCTCACCAGATATGTTTCAGTACAAGTTTGAGTATTTTGCAGCTGCATCTTCCTACAAAGAGGCTTTAACAATACTGGACAGGGTCTACATTAAAAATGAAATCGTCTCTAGACACTTGCTAGCTATGAGGCATCAACTGCCCTCAGGCTCCATTGACAGATTTTATCAAGCCTTGATAAAACTAAGTTAGGACTGTTCATTTTTTTCAGTATCAGTGGAACAATATCGGGCCGAATTGATTTGGGGTGCTTTCATAAACAGGCTATGGTCCATGAATATCCGATAAAGAATACTTAAAAACAGCACCATAACATTATAGCAGGCCTACCCCCAGGCAAGAGGAGTACATTTAGCAGAACAAAATGCTAAAACTTACAGTTGCAGTAATGTTGGAGACCGCTCCACCTTTTTTGGCCTCTCAATTGCATGAAACACAAGGCTCTCTGAAAATATTAGCCTTAACTAAATGCACATGTTTTTTTCTGTGAGGGCAAGAGACTTGCAAAGTCATTATACCCTGCAAGAAGAGACAAATGCTATACATGCAGAAAGCAAGGACATTGTACTAAAGTTTGTAAAAGTAAGAAAATGGGGAGTAAAACAGTAATTTGTTTAGCATTATTGAAAATACTTGGTAGCTTATCAACTACAACAATAGAAATTGCTAATGAACAGCCACTAAAAGCACTGATTGACATGGGGAGCACAGAAAACTTTCTTAATGCAAGCATTGCAAAATTAAATTTGTGGAAAATTTACCTGTGCCTAAACAAAGTGGTGATGGCTAGCTCATCTTTTTCCATACAAATACTTGGATACTGTTTGGTTGATCTATGAGTGAAGGGTACTTTATACCAGGGAATACAATGTCTACTAATGAAAAATCTATGCTGTGACCTATTATTAGGGTACAACTTCTTATGCCAAACACTCATTAGTAGAAATACTCTTCGGAGGATCTAAACCACCCTTTAAAAGTCAGTGCCCTAGCAGCTATGAGAATGCCGTACCCAGCTCCATTCAACAATTTAACATTGGATTGTAAATCGGTAGATGCTAAATCTAGGTGAAACACTGAGGAAAATAAATTATTTATCCAAACCGAAGTTACTCTTATGTTGAAGGATGTAATAATCAAACCCAGCCATTTGCCATGGAGAGCCAAAACCTTTCTAGTCTCCTCTGAGAACAGAAAAAAAGCAAATGGTAATTGACTATTCCCAAACAATAAACCGGTTTACTTTGCTGGATGTTTATCCTTTACCAAGAATAGATGATGATAAAGAAAATAGCCAAAAATGATCTATTTAGTACTCTGGACCTTAAAAGTGTCTACCATCAAGTAGGTATAAGGTCCAGCAATAAACCCTATACAGCCTTTGAGGCCATCAGCAAACACTATCAATTTTGCAGAATACTGTTTGATGTGACTAATGGGATAGCTAGTTTTTAAAGGGTGATACACCAGATAATACCAAAAGATAATGTATCAAGTGGAACATGGCAAAAATCTTAAATTATTCATGGTGGCTGTTAAAAAAATACAAGTTATCATGTCTTAACCAAGACAAATGTTATTTTAGACATAGAAATATAAAATTACTTGGGTATATTATATGTAAAAACATAAAACCTGATCCAGAATGTCTGAATCTATTACTCAGCCTACCAATCCCAAAAGTTTTATCTGCTCTGTGCCATGCATTAGGAATGTTCACACACTATACACACTGGATTTCATCTTTTTCAGATAAACAACAGTATCAAACTTTCCGTTATCTCCCATAGCAGAGAAAGCATTTAACAAGTTAAAGAGGCGCATAGTGAAAGTAACTATTACTATGCCCGATGATATACCAGAAATTACCAATCGTATAATTATATTAAACTGCACACTGATAGGGCTTGTGGTGGATCATCAGTAATTATTAAAAATAATATTCCACAGTGAAATCAAGCTAAATACAAATATGCAAGCAGTCGCTGTATTGGCAACCCTCCACAAAACTCTTAACAGTGTGTTCATTATATATACCACCAAATGAAGAACTCAAAGAATCAGAGCTTAGAAAATTAATAGAACAACTGCTAAGACACTTCATTATAATGGGGGACTTTAACAGCCCAAATGAGATATGGGGAAGCAAGAAAACTGAAAAATATCAGCTTTGCTTGTACAACAACAAAAAAATCAAACACATCTGCATCCAGTAACAGACACACATTATACAATAGATTTAACAATATATGACTCTAACTGGTTTCTAGATTATAACAGGAAAATTCATGGTGACACATGTGGGAGTGACAACTTCCCAGTTCTCTTAGAAGACATATCAGGTCAGTTAAATAAAAAAAAAAAAACTCCAAGCTGGAATCTGGAAAGAGCTAACTGACTGGGAAGGATTTAAAATTTATGCCTTACCAAATTAGTCCCAGAAACCAATAAAAACAATGGGGATAACATCTTATATCACACACACACACACACACACTACTTAACATAGCTGAAAGAAATATATCAAAAAGCTCCAACTTTTCAAAACCCAAGCAGCCATGGTTCAACAAGGAATGCAAGAAAGCTGTGAGATTATGCAAAGCAACACTAAAAAAAATTAAAATAAATCCAACAGGAGAAAATCTCAACATCTATAAAAATAGTAGAGCCAAAGCCAGAAAAATAATTAAAGAATCCGAAAGAAGTACATGGAAGAATTATGTTACCAAAATAAATAGTAACACTATACTAAAAAAAGGTATGGCAGATGATAATGAAAATTAACAATACTGTAAGTAGAACAATCTCATACAACCCTCAAGCCAGTGCAAGAGGTATGATGGAAAAATTTGGAAAACTATTCAACTAGCAACTGCTGATAAAGATGTAGCTTTAGAGAGTTGGGAACCACTACTCCCAGAAGCTCTGTATGTATTTAGAACGCTGCTATGTACCACCACTAATGCAACACTCCATGAACAATTCCTCCCATTTCCTAGAAGTTCGACTGGAGTGTCTCTACCATCTTGGCTCTCAAGACCAGGAGTAATATTACTATAAAGACACACGACTGAATAAGAACGAACCACTGGTGAATCCAATGGAGCTTCGAGACACCAACCACCAGTATGTGCGTATCCATTACCCTGACAGACAGGAAGATGCGCAGTCTCACTAAGGAACTGGACTCCAGCAGGGGAGGAATCTGGACCCACAAGCGTAAGTGAAGACTTTTTTTTGGATACTTCAACTGACTACAAAGGAACAGAAACATGGTCTACTTATGAAGATTACAAGGAACTCTTGAGCTCTGGTCCCTCAACTGGTGACAAATGGGCTTTGCAGAAGAGAGCCCACCCACCTACTGATACTTCAGAGGATGAGCAAGTCATTAGTATAGGATTAAGAAAACACAACAGGGTAGTGAGAAAGAGGAAGAATCTTATCATGCCCCTGGAAAGCTGTCATGGCTTCGCAGACAGCAAAGGATGCCTGCTCGATTCAACATTTTTGTAATTTCTAATATTATGCTTCTTCAATCACTCCATAACTTTACAATCTTTATCATGACAAACTCTCTCTCTCTCTCTACACAAACACAATAAACAACACTGAAGATACATAATAAAATTTTTGAATGACAAATAAGTTATTGCAAATATTATTAAATGTGATATAAAGTGATATTGCTATTGTATTTTTATTATATATATATATATATATATATATATATAATATATTCTAAAAATATTACCAATATTAGTAGGTTGATATCAATTTTATTGTGGAAAAATGATTTTCATATTACACAATTCTTTCAATAATAAACATATTTACTTCATATCTAGTGTACATCTTTGCCTATGTTGCATCTTAGTTGTGGCATAATTTGAACTTGTAGCATATATAAAAAGTTATTGAATGTTCAGTTTTACATACTACCTGAACAATGACTGCCCCTACTGTATATTACAGATTTTACAAGTGCCAAAGGCAAATAAAAAACATTAAATTAATTTTTTTCTTTCTTAAATGCTCTGTATATTTTTCAATCTGTAAGTCTTGTCATAATTTTGCTTAAAAATCATGAAACATTTTTCAAAGTTTTGTAAAAATAAAGATTATATATGAATCTTTTAGATTCAATACCAAATCTGTTAAACTTGCTCTCCTCAATGTACACATTTAGAAAAAAATGCATTTTGTTTAGATTTGAATCTGGAGCAATCTATAAAATGAAAAAGCTAAAATGCTGTAAAAGTTTTCTTCTAATGGAATAAGAAAAGAATTAAATTTCCCTTAAGTATGTTATGTAACTTCTTTCAGAATTATAGAATTTTGTCTAAAATTTGTTCACTAAGTGTTTTCATGTGTTTGTAAACTCATAATTTCCATTTCTAATTTTCATTGGATTAAAATATATTTTGTTGTTCACTTTGTTGCTTGACATCTGTCAACTGTAGTTTTGCTTTTAGATATATGAGGTGGGTAGGTGTTCTTTGTCTAACCATGAAATCCTTCCCTATCTCAAAATTTGATATTTGGTATGATTTTGGGGAGTAAATTGGCCAAAGAATGCCTTAGTATCCTCCGTTTATAAAGTTTAATGATTTCATTGGATCTTCTGTAAAACATGAATGTAAATACTTAATAGAAGTTATTGGATTTTTTTTAAAAGAAAAAAATGCTTATCTTTTTCAGATTTGGAAATGTTTAGCTGAGAATGCCATTTATGTGGCAGATAGAGAATCTTGCTTTAAATGGTTTGCAAAGGTAATTATAACTTGTCACAAAACTGTTTTATATGCCAAATTTAGACTGTTGGTGGAAAATATATTCTAATATTGATTGTATATATGATTATCAGTAGCAAAGAAACAAGGCAGCAACTTATTTACAAAATGAGATTTAATTATCTTTTTCTGGGATTAGTTATTTAACATAACTGACCTGAAAGTTGGGGTTGTAATACCAAGCCTGTCTATTCACTTATTTTTTTTATATTTGGATATACTTTTTTTTTTTATTTTGGAATTATGATAATGAATAACTTAGCATTTAGTATAAATTGTTCCTTATTCCAAAAATTTGATGAATTGCAAATTTAATGGCCAATAAATAAGCTCTATTCTATTTCAGTTGATGGGTGAAGAACCAGATTTGGATCCAGATATAACTAGGGATTTTTTTGAGAAGAATATCCTTCAGTTGGATCCCGCTCTTCTTACAGAAAATGGAATGAAGTGAGTGCAAAAAACGAGATTATTTTTTCTTTGGTTAAGTAGGTAAAGTCTAAATTACAGATCATCCCATAAGTAATATTCAATTTTAGGGTCAGGAAAAAAAAATCATGTTTAATTAGAATTTATATATGTTACATCATCAATAACCTTTTGAATGAGTCTATCTTTTGGAGGAAAAAAAATGTAGAGAGAGTAGTTTCCACCTCTTTATGCATTTTGAGAAATACACCAAGATGATTCTATAAATTTCAGAATAGATGGTAATCAGATGGTGCAAGATTTGGAGAATAAGGAAAGTTTGGAATTTTTTCCCAGTAAGATCTTAAGTATTTTCAGATGTAATTTTTGTCATATGAGAGAGACCATGCATTATCTTGAAATACCTGTAATTGTAACATTGACAGGTAACAACTCAAAATGAACTGCATCAATGCAGTTTCATTAAACACTTAACTAAAAAATTTCCTTGTATGGAGTTCCATTTCGGGTTGCACTGATTCATCTCCAGTAAGTAATTGTCTGTGTTACTTTTTATTCTGGTAAAATATCCATTTTTCATCACCAGTCTGACACAATAGATTCACAACAATGCAGAGAAGTGCAAATGTTGATTCTTGATTGATGGTTGGTTTTTGTCAAATCAAGGAGCACACATTTTCCAAATTGTTGCAAATGACAATAAACTGTTAAACAATTTGAATTCTTGAGTACTGTTTCTGTATGTATCTGGGCAAAAGCAGATTATCATTAAATTTTCCAGGGTGACCTAGTTGTGCATTTCTCAAACTGAAGTCACTTGTTCTTTACCTTTCAAACAATCTTTGGCAATATTTTCATTTCACTATTCTATCCTATAAACATTATGAATATTATTGTCTTTTCTTAACTCTCAGCATTTCATGTCTTGCATGCTCCTTAGACATGCATCTTTAGGAGAGTCAAGTTAGTTACTAAGTTGAATGGTAGAGTAAGTACAGAACTTAATCAAAACTGTGAACATATACTGACATACATTTTAGGATAGCAAAAATGTCATCAAATCTCTTGCTATCAGATTTTAGACATTACTTCTGGGATGATTTAATATTTTACTAACAAGAAATGTAACTGTTTCTGTAATTTAATCAGAATAGACAATTTATCTTTTTGCTAATTTGTGGTTTTAAAATATGGAATTGTGCTAAAGAACTCAAAATCTAACAGGTGCAAAAAATTCATTGGAAATTAAATAATCTTTAATTGAATTTATTTAAAGCTCCATGAAAATTATTATTCTGCAGCTTGATTTGATATTCTAAAAATATGCTTCACTTTAACTACTGAAAGGCTTCAGTTAGGATTTGTTTTATGAGTTAGCAATTTTAGCTTTAATTGCTCTCAAACTTGATTTTTGCTGAATTTTCTATCAAGACTAAAAGAAAATGCTTCAGTGGATAGTGGCTGATGTCCAACAGGATATATATTATTAGGAAATCGTAACTTGTTAGGAAAACAAGCAAACAAGTACTTCAGCAAAATCTCATTAAATCAGCCACAAAAGCATACATTGACTAAATTCTGATGGAAACTGATTGTTTATTCCTCTTAAAGTTTGTGCCAAATGCTTTAATGTTGATCATTTCTCTTTTGGCTGGCATTTCAAATGAATATTTTTTTCTCATGAAAAAAAAAAAATTCAGACTTAAATAAAACTCAAATTACTAAAAATTCAGATTGTTCATTTTTAACGTTTTTTTTTTTTTTTTTTTTTTTTTTAAATAAAAGTTGCTATGAAAGATTTTTCAAGCATGTCAACTTGAAAGAGAATAAACTTGTTGTAAAAAGGCGAGGTGGTCATATGATGAATGATCTTGAACTCATTGGTTTGGAGTATTTATGGAGGGTGAGTTGATATTTTCTTTGTTTTAATATACAAATTGATTTATTTTTAAATGTGAATGCTTATATTTCAAAGTTGCATTTTAAAATCATTAGATAATTTCTGACAAAAACTTCAGTATCTGTCTATATTTCTGAGATGAGGTATTATGTACACTATTTACATTATTTGGACTATTGTCCTCATCTTTGTCGCCATATTTATTACAACATTTCGGCTGTTGTACACTCCGGCCTTCTTCAGGTGGTTGGAATGTCGAACTGAACCCTTTATTTCGCTCACTGGGTTAGACTGTTCTAGTTCCACATGCCATGTTTTAATGAATGCCAGTTATCTCCTGTTTAATTCCCCTCTCCAAGTTCTCCACTGCCTTATACAGAATTTGGCCTTATAAATCATTAAAAGTAAACATTTTCAATGAAAGCTAAAATGAAAGAAGTAAAAGCTAGTATATTAGCAACCTGATTTCTTTGTAATTAGATATTTCTTTGTTATAGTAATAAGTCATGTTTGCTTCAAATAACATTGACCAATACCTCATGTTACTATAAAAATTACTGAGTTGAAAGACCAGATTGTGTGGCATGTGCACCACCTCTCACATTGTGTTTTATATTTTGTACCACTCTGGAAATTGAAATTTGGTTTTGTGTAAAGACATTTTTCTTGGTCTCTGAAGAATTGTTAATGTACAAAGCTGTCTTAAAACTGATAACCATCTTGATAAAAGACTAGCTGATAGGAAGGAGAATATATATTAATAAATGGCCCACTACTAAACAAACAAGCTTATGACCATATCACACTGAAACATTGGTTCCCGTATGATCACCCAAGTTAAGTAATGTTGAGATTGGTCTGTACCTAGATGGTATCGCTTGGTAATATCAGGTGCTGTAAGCTTGGATGTGTGGGTATTGTAATGGATAATGGCTTGAAATTATTATCAGAGAGCCGAATTCCAATTCCAGTTGTGTTTGTTATATTTGCTTATGCGCAATTGACCTTGGGAAAGGTATGAATCCACCTCTTCTCTCTCAGCTATGGGTTAATTAGTATGAGTTCTATCACTACATCATTATCTGCAAAAAAATTCTTAGAATCTAAAAATATTTTCTAGTTTTAAATAACCTGCAAAAGGTTGATGGGCTGTAGAAAATGAGTCGATCAATCATAAACAAACAACTTGGGTTTGATTGTTCTGTGTTGATATTGTGAGCTTAGAAGCCAAAGTGAAGCAGAAATATTAACCAATATTTATTCTATCAGGTACTTGAATTTGCAGATTTCTTAAAATTATTACATATTGGCAAATTACAGTGAATTACAAACCAATAGGTAAACTTCTCAAATATCTTTAAATTGGTCAATCTTATGATATGTCAATGTTAAAGGCTTTTTAAAATCCTGTTTAAGTCTGATTTTCAAGGATCTTTCAGCTTAAATTCTCAGTATTTTCACAAATAAGTTGTCTCCAGCCCCTAATTTATTTGTACATGTGCATTAGTCTTTCTGAAACTACTTTTTGACTTTAGGTTGTATTGAATAGCCCAGAAAGTGTGGCTGAGAAACCTGTCGCACTCTTGAAAGAAATTTTCACCAATCTTGGCCCTCACTTGCAACAAAATCATGTTGATATCCACGAGGACTTCATTCAAACATGTATTGATCGTCTGAAACCTTCCTACGACACTGTCTGTGTGTTGGAAGATGACAAGGAGAGTAAGAATAGAGTGATGCAGGAAGCTATGCGGATGGTCCGTGTTCTAACTGTACTCAAGGAATATGTTGCTGAATGTGATGAGGCCTATGGTGAGGAAAGGTCAATTCTACCTCTGGGCAGGTTTGTATTTCATTTGTTTTTAAATTAAATTTCTTAATATTTCATGGCATAATTAAAAATTCCTGTTTAAAAACAATCTAATTTTAAAAAAAATTAGATATTTGACAAAAGCATTATTTATGTCTATCCTTTCAAATCTTCACCTATTTTATTGATACATAAGACATTTTATAAAAAAATTTTTCTATTTTACATTGATCTCTACAATATGATCCCTTCCCTCACCTGTGCAATATAGCATTGCTAATGAAATATTAAACCTTATTTTCTCAATGTGAATTTCTACTTGTAAATTACAAATTAGTCTAGGCAGTTACATTATTCAAGAATTCTGCATAGTAATACTATCTTTCAAACATACTGTAGGCAGTACATTTTTATTTCAGTAAAATGTCTTCTATCCAAAATTGTCTAGTATGCAAATTAATTTTGCCTAAATATAATTAAAAAAAATATATTTTTATAAAACTTGTTGATCTGTTCAGGTAAATGAACAATAAGTTATTTGAATTTCAAATTCAAGCTATTTATTTTACACTTTTAATACTGCATAGTTACTTTTTCTCTTGATATATTTTTTTTAATGAGAAATTGAATTTATTTAATTTGAAATGTTAACATTATTTGACAATTTTGAAAAACTATCTGCTTTGTTACATTTTATAAGTAGTTACAATAAAAAATGATGAAACTTTGATTTGAAGACCTAATGATTAATAGCAGAATTTGATTACATATTTGAAATAAATTTCAAAGATTAAAAGTTTTTTTCATTTTTATACCTTGAATCTTAGGAAACTTGAAGTTAAATAGTATAATGGAATTTGAACAATTCCCAAATTATGCATATATTTTTATTTGTAAAAAAAAAAAAAAAAAATCTGTTGGTATCTTTTGCAGAGCTTGTCGTGGACGTCTTGTGACATTGTTTATACGATTCCCCAACCAGGGGAGGCAGGTTGAGGATTTGGATATTTGGTCGCACACTAATGACACTTTAGGTTCAGTAAGACGACAAATCTTAAATAGAGTTAAAGTTAGCAGTAGCAGCATCAAAGTTGATCTGTATGTTAATGGAGAACTTCTAGATCCTAGCGAAGACAAGAAATTGATATCACAAATTCCTCTTCGAGATAGAACTGTAAGTTCTTCCTTTTTTGTTCCCTTTCCATGTCATGTGTTTTATTTTTGGTGATGTTAGATTACTTGTAATTTTTAAAGCTTAAATCTTAAAATTCTACAAATTTACTGTATATTTGAAAATTTGTAGCAAGTGATTTGCAGTATTGTTATTGTTTGAGGAATTGGATAGAAATCTAGTTTATTTCAACTTTATAAAATTAAAGAATTTTAAAATATTTTTCTATGGTTTGAATTTAATAATTATATTTTTGTAATGTATTTGGATTTGCCCCTTTTGTTTTTTAATTATATAGCATGGTGAATATTTAGAGGCAATTAATCCATACTATTTAAAATATCTAAAATTGACTCTGTCTTTATTTCAGGCCGTCTCGGCTAAATTAGTTCAAGTTGGAAGTAACATGCCTTCCAGCCCAGACAGTAGTTCTGATAGCTCTGGAGGTTCTCCCCACAACACTTATGATGGGCCTAACATAGATGCTGAAAACTGTCTGCCTGGTGTGGTAAGTAATTTTTTTTCCCTCCAGTTATTAATTTTTATTATAATTTATGTTTGCTGTTTTTAATTTGTATTGTTATTCAAAAGATATTAAGTTTTGACAGTTCTGTTATTACTTTTATTTCTTTAGTGATAAGTAAATGATTGTTTAATTATCACAGCTAAGACAGACTCTATAAATGCCTAAGCAATAAGGGGAGGGGCAGAATATGATACACAAGATTAATGATCACCACTGGACTGTGAAAAAAAATGAAGGTAATCATGTTTAATAACAATTTCATTATTTTTTATAGAAGTTATCCTGTTATTTTTACAGTGTATAATAATAATTGTGTTAATTTGACCCTAATTTTATTAGGTATATTTAGTGGATCATGAGAAGTTTAGATGTTGAATTTTAGATTCTTTTTTATTTAATTTTATTCATTAGAATATTTTCAATTAAATTTTACTATAAAATGATTAAAATTATTTCTATGGCAAAATTGACAATGATTCAAGAATGTCTTGCATATGTAAACAGGTTAGCAGAATCTGAAAATTATCAAATCTGTACAAGTTACAATCACATTGACAGAAGATATATGCTGACTTGTATCATGATTGTGCAAAAAAAAAAAAATCTAGGCAGTTTTTCTATCATGTATTACAAAACAGTGAATAAACAAGTTGATAGTGATTGAGGATTTAACTGTGCAGAATATAATTGAGGTTTGATTTTGCTCTGGCTGTAAAAAGAGGTTTTGGTTTAATAACCATTAAACCTGAAATTCCTTTTTGGGCTTATGTATGGTCTGACATTAAAATTTGAGGATCATATCTTATATGTGTGTCCTTATTTTAATATATATAAATAACCAGTTGGGGTCAATAAAATGTCTTCCAGTCTATCTCTAAAAGCTAATAATTAAAAATTATTTTAAATTGTGTTAAACAAATTGTATTTGGTTTGAGGTTTCCTTTTGCTAAGATTGTTATTAATTTTTAGTCTTACTGAATAGTGAACAATAGCTAATGTTATAAAAGAATGGACAAAGAAATGTAGATAACTTTGAATAATGGATGAATGCAAAATTATGTTCATAGTGAAAAGTTTTTCTTTCAATGAAATAGGAATAGGAAACTTTATAGTTAATAAATTTTTTTAAATTTCTTATAAAGATATTCTCTCAAGAAATTAGCTCCTTTTTTTTTTTTTTTTTTTTTTTTTTTTTTTTAAATAATTTCTATAAATAGAATTTAGTTCCTGTAGCTTTGTTATTATATTCTTTTGATAACTCATATACTGCCACTATTTACCTTAGGAAATATTCCAGTTTCTCCAAGTAATTATTATTACTAATTTTGTTTGCTAATGTATATGCTGCAGAGCTCCTGCTCTAAAAAGATATCTGAATTGAGATAAAATTTTGTTTATTTTATACCTGCATTTTTTGAAAACATACTTTGAATATTCAAATATAATTTAAAGAAATTGGATGTGCTTGAAGTTTCTCTTTTTTTTTTTTTTTTTTATTATTATTATTATTATTGCAGTTAATGGCACATGTCAACCGGTACACAAGTTTCCTTTTCCAACTATCAGACCTTGGCAGTAATCTGCAGCTGCCAAAATTAAGAGACACTGCGAGAGCTCTCCTGAAAATTATGTCAGCTGGTAAGTGCATTAATTTTGTTTTGATTTCTTATTAGACTGAAAAGTAATGTCAGAGAGTGAGCATTTTGATAAAACATTGTATTATCATCAGTTTAAGTGGTTTCCACTAGCAAATCCTTTTAGGTGTATTACCTTTTTGTAGTCTGTTTATTCTATAAAGACAATTTTCACATTCTTTATATTTTTCTCTTACAAAAAAAAGAAAAAATATTTTAAATTTTCAAAGTATTTTCTAAGAAACTAACAAATGTACTACAGCTGTATTGTGGGATCTAAAGCAATTGATAAATTAGTGAACATATTGATCAATTTAGCTTTATTGAAGATGAAAAAAACATTGGTCAGAAAATGTGATGTTTTAACAAAGCCAATATGATGACTAGTAAAGTTTATTATAACAATTATACATGACAATTTATTTTTAAGTTTTATGTATTAAAGAGTTTTTATTAGTTTTTTTTTATTAAATGTGAATTTATAACAAATATTGTATAATGTTTTCAGATTTTTTTATATTAGAAAGTATCGGTCAGAATGTCTTGAGTTGTATTAACAGATTATCTAATACTATCAATTTCTGGTGATTTGTAAGTATATAAATAAGTTATCTATAAAATAACTCAATATTTTACTTGGATTAAAATTTATGAAAATTAGAGAATGCTGTTTATATTTCTTGTTATTTGATGGTTAGCAATTTTATGTATTTTTTAAACTTTTAATCTTAAGTAAATTCTGTTTTAAGATTTAACCAGCTTGTAAATAACTATTTGAATAATTATTAAAAGTGACACTTAAAGATAATGTTCAGAAAATAAATTGTCTTTTTGAGATGAAAAAATTTCATTTAATGGTTTTGTATTTTTTCTTAAATGAATTTTGTGTTAAAGGATGTACAAGAATAGCTTAAAGTTTATTTTTCAGAGCTACCAGTATAAAATATTATCTATGTCTCAAAGAAGACAAATCTAGTACCTATTTCATTTCATTCAACAACTTTGAAAAAATTATATTAATTCAACATAAAACATACAATGAAATGCTTTAAACTTTTTTGCGATTCTCTCTTGAATACTATGATATAATGAAGATACTCAAAATTAGGAACATTTTATTTATTTTGCTCCAGATACTTTTACAGTAGAGAAATTCCGTAGTACATGTATGGAACATGCTAGAGCTGAGAGTGGAGTTTCAGCTACACTGGAAGCTATGTTCTTCACTGGTTCTTCAACACAAGTTCTCTACAATGTAGAGGTAAGTAATATGACCATATACAGGGTGCAATGGGTAAATTGTCGCCATTTCATATATTTAATTTTGTGCATGTGCATTGTTTGTTTTTGATTTTGTCGGCTGCACAGTATAATAGTCTGTCTGAAAAAAAGAGCACCATGATGCAATTTTCTCTGCTAGAAATTTGGAAACAACATGCTGTATTCTTAGCATTTGTGCTGGAAGCTCCAATATGAACATTTCAGAGTGTTTGGGTGTCAATCTGAGGACAGTGCAGAGGATTCAGAAAGTTGGATGAGTCTAATGATTATGTCACTATTGATGGTGACATACTCAACATGGAGGCCTAAATCAAGTGCATTGAGGTGGTAGTGCCACCCTGGTTCAAGAGGGTGGCTGCTTGAATACTCTGTTGTCTGGTAACAGGACTCCACACCATGCCACACAAGCAGGAGAACCTAGTCATAGCTGCCAAATTTCCTGCGACCACATCACGCCCTGGCCACCTAACTCCGAAGACTGCAACTCCATTGATTATTACATGTGGGGTGCAGTTGAGTAAGAGACCAACAAAACTCCTTGTAACTCTAAAGGTGAACTGATGGCAAGGATTATGGCAGCATTCACCAACTTAAATAAGGAGACCATACAGAAAAGTTGCAGATTCTGAAGTTGCCTGGAGGTTGTGGTTGAATCCAATGGTGATCTTATGAAATAAATTCACTCTTTAGTATTTCAAGATATTTTTGTGTAATTTTGGTAAATATATCTGTTAAAATGAGATGTTAGTGTTATTTTCCTTTTCGTGTAATTTAGATGCCAATTTACTCATCGCTTCCTGTACATTGTTGACTGAAATTATATTAAAAGAAAAAGTTGCTTCAACATGAAAATGCTTTATTTATTTTAAAGCAATTATTTATATTGAGAACAAATTGAGTTTTTCAATGCCTAAAGATGATCTGGGATTTGATGCTATAAAATTGTATTGTGACTACTAATATATAGATGAATGTACCATGGAAAGAAGATTGTGAAGTAACTATTAGGTATCCTATTTAAATTTAAGAACAAAATTAATTTTTACAAATTAGTATATTTTACGTAATAATTTAAAATCCTTTACATAGAAACACTATTCTTTTTATTCATGTGTCGATGAAGACTAGTTTTTGATTTGATGTCTTTGTTTTTAGGTGGTTTACAGTCTGCTGATGCCAGCAAGTGCACCTATTTCCGATGATGCTTTTGAATTTCAGGTAAATATTTTCTGATTGAAACACCAAAACATTTGTAAATAGATTCTGATGGAACTGGATATGTGAATAGAATTTTCCATCCTGAAGTTAATAGTTTTCCATAATTAAGTTAAAGAAGTCAAATACTTTTTTGCTATCATATTTTAATGAAGAATACAAAATTGAAGTCTAAGGATGAATACTGTTGCTATTTATAGATATTTTAATTAAATATTTTTAGACTTTGAATTTCAGATATTTATAGTAGCTCTTTTTGTGTTCTTTCAGTATAATTTTGTACGTAGTGGTGGTGTCCAGTTGTCTTTGAACATGCTCACAAAAAATAATTTCTTGCCAAATGCTGATCTCCCTACTAGAAGGTAAGTTCTTTTTTGTTTTTGAATATTAAGTTTTTCAGTCACATTGTGTATTAACAGAATGAAATAGTCATTTTCAGTATACTCACTGTTTCAAGAATTATATTTTATGCACATTCTGTGACAGAATGTCTCCACATACTGTTTTGTTTTTCAATATTGCTTGGGCTGTAGCTGGTAGTCCATTGTCGTCAAATTCATCCTAACAAGGTACAAGAGTTGTTTTATTTGGTCTTGCAATCCTGCTATATACAAGCATGCTAAGCTGTGTTTGGATGTCCTTCAAATAGTATTGTAAGCTTCCACAATTCTGCAGGATATTATCTCTTTGAAAATTTTCTGTTAAAATTGTTCATAGGCCATAAGAGAGTCCATTACAAAAGCTGGGTGTAAGGCATTTTTTTCTTTACTCAGCTGTTGATAGTATTCCACCCATCAAACATACCAATAGAACTTGTTCAACTTTTCCCACTCTGCATAGATTGCACACAAGTTCTGCCTTTTCAATCTGGTTGTGGAGCTGTCAAATTTTGGAATCAGTTTGAAGTTCAATTGTTTGTCTGCTATTCTTTTCGAGGGATGAAAATAGTTGTAGAAAAAGTGGGTGGAAAAGAAATACACACACACTTTGACAGCTTTGTATCTACTTATGTAACAGTTGACTCACTTTCACACTTGAATTTGATTTGTCTTCACTGTTGAACTTCATTCACCTTCATTGCCAATGAAAAGGTCTGCTTCTCGGGTCATCATTCTCTTTTATACTGAAGGACACTATCAATATTCTAATATATGCCTCAAATAAAAGGATTTTTTTATGATAATTATAATTATTGCAGTTGTCAAATCATGCACATCCTACTTAGTGTCTTTTTGATGCTGATAAGCCCATTTTTTTCAGTTCTGCTACATTCATGCACAACGTTTTCCTCACACATTCTTATGATTGTTCATACATAAACACTAATATGTACAAATATGCTTTTGAAAAGCTTTTGGTTTTAAAGATTTCTCTTTTGAGCTGGCTTTGCTTCAGTGTTGGCTGATATTTTACAATTTTAATAAAAATGTAAAACTTTGGTTAAAAGTGCATTATATTTTTTTAAAATTAATAATAATAAGCGAGAACATTGTTAATAATTTTAACCAACACATTATTTGCTTTTGAAAGTGGCTTTCCAAGAAAATATCTAGCGAAAAGCTTATAAATATTTTTAGTTTTCATGGTTTGCATATATTGAGGTGCTCATAAAAAAAATTCAAAATAAAACTTCAGGGAAAAATTGAGTTGTATATTTTCTAAATTTTGTTCCTTTTTCTAATAATTGTTTAAAATGGATTTTAGATTATTGCATTAAATTTAACTTTTTTTTTTCTCTCAGATCTTGTGATTTTTTTTTTTTTTTAAAATTATACAATGAAAAGGAATACTATTTGGGGCAAAGTATTTATAATTACATGTATGCTTCTATTTTTTTTTATTCATTCAATCTATCCCTATAGTTATTTAAACATAACTAATTTATTTTAGTGTTGAAATATAGCAGTGTTTATAATTATGTTTATATTTTACTTAATTTTATATTTGTTATTAGTAATGACTGTAATAATTTTGATTTACAAATTTTTTTCCTTAGGTATTCTTTTTAAATTGTGCAATTATGTTTACTTTGATTATTCATTTGCTTTCAGGAGTGCCTATGTGACTGTTTTGAAGATCTGCAAATTGATGACCACAACTGTTGGTCATGCTAAAGTTCAAGTAGCTGTGGATGCTTGTAGTGCTGACTCTCAAACTACCCCAATCCCTGTCAATGAGCATAATTATGCAGTCACTTTGCAACAAGCATTGATCTACATACCAAATCCTACATCAGAATTTACACTTCGAAATGTGGCCATACGATTGGGTCAGCAGCTGAAAGAGCAGGTAAGATTCGGAAATATTTTGATGTTTCTTTATGAACTTATATGCATTAATAATGTCCAAACTTGAATGATAAAAACAGCATTTATTTTATACAATAAATTATTTTCTGGCACAATCTCATTACTGGTTAATGCATGTAATTTAGTGATGAATATTATACAGTGAAAATTTTGCTTAATAAACTGTAAATGTTATGTTAAACTGCAGACTTATTGATGCAACATAATGTTGATTATTATTAATACTAAATTATTTTTGAAGTCTCAGATTGAATACAAAAATTTATAAAATTAAATATAAGCATTTTACTTAGGTACCTCCATGAGATCGCTAAAAAAAGAGCATAGCATGATGAAAAAGATGCCAAATTTGACGAAAATAAAATTTTATCATCTAAATGTTTATATTATTATTAAGAGGAAAGATCAAAGTTTATTTTTATTATTTTAAAAAATTTTCCTTTTTAGAACATTCTAAATTTTGATTAAAAAAAAACCTTGTTTCTCTTTGTATCACTGGAACTAGTAAAATAACATAGACAATTTTTAGCACGTTTTTTTTGTGTGACACACATTAATTTGGAAAATGTTGCAAAAATAAAAGTAATTGTCGGATTTCAGAAACTATTCACACATGATCGAAATTATTATAAAAAAGTTTTTATTTAAAGTCATGGCAGAAATATTTTTTAAAATATTTACCCCCCCCCCCTAATTTTATGAAAACACTAGAAATTCGATCGCGTCAGGTTTAGTGATTACTATAGTTAAAAGCACAAGGCTTTGAGGAATGCAAATCATGTTTTTGTTTTTTTTTCCTTTGGTTTTTAATTGGACCCTTCCTACCTTCTGAAAAATCAGCTCTGAATTGTAACATACAAAACTCAATAAAACAAAGATAATATTTAATTTCAAATGCTTTTATTTGCTTTTATGAATAAGGATAATATTTTCTAAAGGCAAAAAAATTTTTTCGACGAAAAATGAATTTTTAATACAATTATTTGTTATTTCTTAAATGTAAAAGTCTATTATAATTAAAGTTGATAAAATATTATAAAATTAGTTAAAAGCCGCATCACATTTCCTAAGTGTCCTTATGAGATAGATCTTTTTTTAGCGTGTTGTAAATTGTATCGTTTTGACTCATCAGAAGATCCGCAGTAATTAAATGTAATTTTGTGTTTATAATCGGGCTGTAATTATAAAGTACGGAAGACCAACCAGAATACAATTAAGTTGTGTTATTTGAGTTAAGCATTGTTCTTCGCTGTTAAGGCCTTTACTTTTGTGAAACATGTGTGGAGAAGTTAATTTGATTTTTCAATTTCAACTGAGAAGGGTACCTACAAGTATCAGTATCATCTTATGAAATTTATATGATCTTATTTTTATATTAATCTCAGTTATGACATTTTTCCATAAATTAAATATCAAAATTAATGATAAAATGAATGGAAATACAAATAACACAGTAAAATGTACATAAAATTATAGTATTTTATGTACACTTCTGATAAAATTTCATAAGAAAGGTACCTATAAATGAATTAGATACCTTTCTTATGAAATATGAAATTTAATCTCGCTCTTAACAGTCTTATTTTAATTTCTTTATAATATATTTTCTATAAAGCATCATAAAGGTGAAAGCTAAGTACAAAAAAAAAAAGATTAGGCACTGAAAGTTTTCCTTAAAAATAACGAAGTAAATAATTTGTTCACTTAAATGTAAATAATTTCACTTTTCTCCTTCTGTAGAACAAATTATTTTCATGGAATCCGTCAATATGTCATTCATCACCTGTCAAGTGACATGAAAGTTTATGACTGGCTTTGTTTTTATTTTCAAATTACATCTTTTCAGCGCAGAAGCTAAGTTAAGCTTGGTTCAAAATATTTTAAATAAACATTATAATTTCTGATTTTCTTAAAATAAGTTTTGAAAAAATGATAATTGATATTTAAAAGAATTTTAAAGGGAGATTTTCAGTTCTTTTATAAAATGGAAAAAAAACGGTCAATTTTGCTGACTCAAAAAAAAAAGATTTTTAATGAAAATTTCGGACATGCTAGGAACGATTAAAAAATGTAAAAAAAATACCCCTAAAATACTTTGATCTTTCCTCTTAATAATAACATAAACATTTAGATGATAAAATTTTGTTTTCGTCAAATTTGGCGTCTTTTTCTTCATGCTATGCTCTTTTTTTTTTTTTTTTTTTTTTTTTTACCTGATCTCGTGGAGGTACCTAATTTTACTAATTTGAGTGATTATTTCCTTACTAAAGATAATTTGAAAGTGTATTTGCCAAATTTGAGAAAATGTATTGGATGGGTGAAAATTTTTTTTTTAACTAGAGACTCAGTAAACAGTTAAAAAATATATTTTTATTTATCTTTTTGAAAGGAAATTTTTACATATACTTTATTTCTTAATTCAACAAAACAATTCAGCATTAGAATATTTAAAAATGTTAAATGGTATAGCCGAAATATTGCATACTTTAATAATGTACATACTAAGTTGTATCTGAAACTCTTAAATATTTTATGTATTAATATTGCAAACTTAATTATTTTGTAATATCATGGGAGCAAAACTGTTGCACTTGGGAAAAGAATGCCTAAATAGTTGCTTATATTTAATATTCTATTATATTTCAAAAAATAATATTGTAACAATTGTAAATCAAATACAATTTACTTTCTAATAAAAAAAAAATTTTTTTAGGAATAATTATTAAAACTGATATTCTTATTAATGAGATAATAAGCAGTATTGTTACCTTTCAGTCAATCTTTAAACTGATAAGAATTTATGTTTTGAAATGGACAAATTTGCAAACTGCATTCTTTCCAAACCATTAAGGATTTGGGATTGGTGAACTTTGTGCAAATTTTTTATATAGTTTAATTTATCACGCTCTTAATATTCATACATGTTTAAAAAATGTTTTCTTTATAAAATTTATATTAATGAAAGATTCTCTTATGAGAATTTAAGTTAACCATTTGCAGATTTCTTGAATTTCCTGTGCTTTAAATTTGTTTTCTAAAAAGAATGAAAGATATGTATGAAGAACTAATGGAATTGATTTAGACTCATTGTTGTAAATGTATAAACTGTATTTTAAAATTTGCAGGTAATGACTAAAATTATTTTGCAGGCTTTTGGAGCATTACCAGACTTGAACACCATCAAGGCTATACAGAAAATTGCATGGTCATCTTGCACAGGATCTTTGCATTTAGTTCATGATTCTAATGAAGAGATCCATCGGATTGTAGAGAAGGTAAATATTCTGAAATGGAAAGGAACAAATTTAGATTCAAATCTTGAAACTTTGTAAATACAGACTGGTTTATTCACTATAAGATTTTAATTCTGGATTTAAAACATTAGAAAACACATTTATTAGAAATTAAATGTTAAACTGCACTAGTTTTCCTCTTGATTCTGCTACTTAATAATTTTTTTTATCCATTATGTTTCCTCCAATTTGAGAAAAATATTTCTTCCAATATGAACCAGAATACTAGTCATAGAAAACTAACAATTAGATATTTAACCTAATACATCCCTCTGGTGTGGCATTTAGCATTGTAAATGTGTTTGTGTCTGAATGAATGAATGTTCTTTTGATTCTTAATACTGCTGATGGAGTGACATTGCTTGAAAAAGTGTCGATATCTATTGGGATGACAATGGGAATAATATCTAACTACAGAGAAACTTTCCATAGTCATAGAAAAGTATCATTTTCACAATTCTTGATATTATCTGTCAAATAATTATAAGGTCATTCAGTTTCAAAGGACTGAACACTTGCTGTTTTCTTTTAATTGGGCTCTGACTTTTTTGATACAGATATGGTAGCTTTGATATATGGAAGTTGTACTGAATCTGCTGAGCTGAACTTTCTTGAAAATTTCACTTGGTATTTTGGCATTAACCACCAATGACGGGTTTTAATTGTCTAACATTAGGAATGTTGTTTTAGTTGGCCTATTGCACACAGCTCCCTTTGTTGTTTCTATTACATAGTAATATTAAATGAACATCTGCTTGCATGCATTTACTATTATGGCTAGAATAACAGAAAAAGAAAGGCTGTTTTTCTTCTTCTTCTTCTTCTTCTTCTTTTTTTTATAGCAGTAGTTTCCCTTTTCCTCTAACTTTGCAAAGATTCCTGTGCTTCCAATATTGTTAAAGATGTCATTTGCTTTGACATCATGAATTCAGGCAGACTTGCAGGGTTTAGCCAAAGTGTTCTACTTGTTGGTAGTCTTTTTTTTTTTTTTTTCTTCTTTCAAGCTAGTTAAATCCTCTGGAATCTTTAATTAGTCTGATCACAAAACAGGAAACCACTAGACGTTACTGGTGAGACGAGCAAAAACATACATAAATGAAAATGACTGCAGTTCAGGACATCTGATATTGCACTTCTTCCTTGCATTTATGCTTCTGAATTCTTTTTCCAAGCATATGCTTTGTATAAATACAGGATAGCTCTAGTGCTCTCATCTATTCCATATACAAGCTGATTTCACAGTATCATTTTATAGGATTGGGAAGACGACTTGTAGGTTTTGGTGAGATCAAATTTGGTTCACTGCTTCATTTGTCTCTTGTTGCTTTCAATAAAATTGGAAACTGAACTTTTGTTGGATTATTTTTTAAAATATTCATCTTTTCCAGGACAATTTTCAGGTTGTTTTTGTCTCCTGTTTCATCAAAATGTATATTCTTTAGTACTCATTAACCCTCATCACCCAGCACTGATTTGATGTCTGGTTTCCTTTTTTTTTTTTTTTTTTTTTGAAATTCTTGGATAAGTACTAAATCATTGAATTTCCTCTACCATATCCACTATGTCATATAGGAAAAGTTTTGCTTCGATAAATCACTGTTGTCCACACTGTTGCTGACATTTCTGGCACCATATCAAGAACAAGCAATATATTATTTTACATTGGGCTTTGCTAGTCTTGCTATGTCTCTCTCTCTCTCTCGCATATATATATATATATATATATATATATATATATATTCCACCAATCAAAAGAACAAGTCTCGCAGAGCAAACTTATGTGAGCAATAAACAGCTCTAAAGTCAATGGGATTACATTTTTTTTATTCAAGTTAACATGTCAAAATATATTTGCATTGTCAGCAAATAAGTTATTTCTTTGAAATGATTTAAAATCATTAACTGCAGATAACAGCAACTGTTGTTATATGCATACAAAAGTTAATTTACTTAATATTTTCATAGATATATATAAACAAATTAAGAAACACAAATTCGGTATTAACATTTCTAGCATTAACTCCATCCCTGTATTTTTTTTTTTTTTTTTGGCTTGCTTGATAATTATTATTCACATTATTGATATGAGAGAATTGTAATTCAAAATAATTCTTATTTGCTTTGGCATGGAACTAAATTTTTGACACTATCAGTTTTCTTCACTTTTGGCAAGCAGAATTGAGTAAAATTATGAAGTATGATAGTTATTAACAGAAATTTGCATGCAAACTGTAAAAAAAAAATGTCCTTGGCTTTGTGCTTTTTCTTACATTAAGCTAGGTTACTTCAGTTTGTAGCTATTTTATCCCGATATTTGTTTTCTTTCTCTGTTTATCAGTCCTGGCAAAATCCAGACAGGATATGTTTTAATAACCTGAAGTACTTTAAAAAATTTTTTTTTAAATTTTTATGAATAAATTGCTTTCTCAGTCTTTACAGGGGATTCTATTTACAATGTAAAACTGGACTTAGATATTTTTAGCTGTTTTTTTCTTTACAAAAGTTCAGTGGAGATGTATCATTTTACATTAATCACAAACAATAATTAAATTTAATTCAACCAAGAAACATTTTAAATTTGACAGTTTTTCCCTTTTCTATTTTGTTACAAATGTATTTTTACTTGTCAATTTAAACTTGGTTATGCAGCTGTTCAATTGCATGGATTTTTAAATCTGTTTTTGTTTTGTTTTTTTTTTTTTACTTGTAATATTTGTTGCTCAATATTTAATATATGACATAAGTTGAAAAATTATCAACAAGTAACAAGTTCAGTAGATTTTATAGGCAGAGAAATTCTAAAAAAAATACATGTAAAAATGTAAAGTTTTATGAATTTAATGAAATAAAAATTAAATGCATTTGGACAATTGTTGAAAACAAAAACAATTGCTACATTTTAAATCTTTAAAACTAGAAAAGAAAAAATATAGAGGGTTTATTTTGAATGTTATCAACATGCATATGGTTAATTGGCTCTTTAATGAAGGAACCAACTTGGTGAATCTCTGGCCCACTCAGTAAGCTTTTCATCAAGTGTATAAAAAGTTTTTTTGATTTGTGTGAAAAAGAACCCTTCAGACTTTATAAAGATTTCCACTAAAAATAACAATGCAAAATCTATTAACCAACTTCTATTAGAAATTAGCATTTCTAATAACTGATTAAAAAAAAACCACCAACTTGTACCCAAACTATCACTGATCCACATATAACACAAGGCTATACTCAAAATAACCACAATTCAAAACCTTTATCTGGCATTAAATAACCTTATAATGGTTGATTGGACATTAAGCAGAAACCAATCATCATTCAACAGAAGCCTTTCTGCCAACAGAGGAATAAAAGCTTTTAAAAAAATCTTTTCTCATTCAACTTTGTTTTTGACAATTTCCTCTTTTATGCTCTCTTTAACAGGATGATTTCAAAGATTTTTCACTATTTGGGAAAACTAGTTATAACAAGATTCAAGAATTCTTGATTCAAGAAATGAATCAAGGTACCATTTTTTTCCCCAAAATGAAAACACAGAAAGATTGAAAATTTTGCAAAAGACTTAACTATAGTTTATATTCCCAACAGTAGCTGCATTTTTAGCTGCTGTCTGTAAAGACATCTATCAAAAAGTCTGACAGATGTCTTGCTCTTTATAAAATAGCATAGGCAGTTCAGTTGTCTGTATGCAGCATCAAGTTTTTTCTATAAGTATCTTCTCAGCTTAATGTTTTATGACATAGCTAATATATGAAACTGGCATTCTAAAATGTGGGATTTAAAATGAGATTTAAGGTTTTTGAAATAGTCAAAGTAAAAATTTTTAAAGTCATGACTTGCTGATGTGTCATGTTGAAATTTTATCTTATTTGAAGAAGCTTGCATAGCATAGGTTTCACTTATTTTACAAGTGAAGTGATCATCTTCAAAATCTAGAAAACGCACTCTACCCCACAAAAAAAAACAATTCAGTGTGATTGATGGGTTGGCAATGTAACATTAAACTGCTTGTTGATTCTGAAACCTTAATAAAAGTACCTTGATTGGGGAGATAGTCACCAGGTTCATTTTCAATTCCTTCAGTGGCACTAGGTTTGTTACAAGATTATGTTGTAAGCTTTAATTTTAACAATAATCCTGAGAAATCCTCTGCAAGTTTGTCTAACTCAGAGTTCAATTTTAACATTTTTTTTTCTTTGAAGATTTTTTTCCTCCCTTCTTTCCTTCCTTCTAAGGATTGAACTGAACTTTTCTTCAATTATAAGTGAGCTCTGTATTAAAATAAAAGTAATTTTCTGTAAATTTTATTACTGGAGAATCTTAAATAAATTTAACCACATCTGAAATAACTGAAATGTTTTTAAATTAAATTCTTTGAGTTTTCATAAAGTCTAAAAATGTGTATTGAGTGTTAAAATTTCTACTATTGATTTTTGAGATGTTTTGTGGCATGTATGCAATCTTTTCAACTGCCAATGTATCTTTGATTCTGTTGATCAAATACCCATTTTTTTATGAAAATTTTTTTATTCTAGTGACAAAATTTATAAAATTGAATTTTTGTGTACAATGATTTTTTATTTATTTTAGTGGCTATCATTTTATGCCATTTTTCCATTGCTGATGTGTATTGTGAATACATTTCTGATGATAGTATAAATGATGACATCCAATGAATGAATAATAATTTATATTAGAGATTTGTATGTAGATTTTTGTCTTTTTATCTTCTAGGGTAAAGAAAATACTGAGCCAGAAGATATTGAAGTGACCAGAGAAGCTTTAGAACTTTTATCTGTCTCTCTGGCATTGTGCCCATCTGCTTTGGAGTCTCTGAACAAGGATAAAGCATGGCAGTGCTTCATTATAGACCTTCTGCTGCTCTGCAAGAATAGGTAATTAATATTTATTACATTAAATACTGACATTTAATATATCAACAGAAGCAGGAAAAAAATGCTTAGATATTCTTCTGTTTGTAACAATGCTTTGTATTGCAGGTCATTAAAAATCATTATTTAAACTTTTTGTTTAGATATTTATTCTTCAGGATAATTTTATAATTTAGGATATGTCATATGACTAAAGTATTTTTTTTTTTTTTACATTTACATTTGTTTACTGTAATTGGCTTTAAAGAGTGAGAACTCCCTGCAGCTTCTGAATGATTTTAAATATTCATACTTGGCCACATCATGAAACTAAGTGATTTAAGGTTTTTTCCATGCAAAGTATGTTTGTTCTGTAGATAAATTATTTCCCCAAATTCTATTTTATGTCAATATTTTTATATTTGATGGAAAAAAGAAATTGGACTTCAAAATATCTTCAGGTAGTTTTCAATAGTTTCATAAAATAGAATACCGTGATTGGAATAAAGAATTTGAAAAACATTACTGAGGGAGAGTAGTTTTTGCTTTCATTTGCTGTTTCATAAATTCATTTTTAACTCCAATATTTGCTTTTTACCATTTAGAACAACCTAATTTTTTTATCATTTACTATTTGTATTTGGTAATAGTACAAACAAGTAATATCATGTAATGTTTGACTTTTAGCTTTTTCATACATGCACTCACATAAAATGCCAACATGATGAATCCTTTAATACATTTAATCATTTTCTATTTTTTTGAGATCTCCAATTCTTAAATGGTATAAATATTAACTTTTAGACTTTTATGATTAAATATTTGTTTAGCTTTATCTGACAAAGTGTGCAAAGATTTTTTATTTGCTACATTAGTAATGTACTTCAAGATGAATTTCCTAACCATTGTTTCACAGAAAAGTGATAACTGTTATATTTTTACTTTTATTTTTTTGTAGAAGTTTTGATTTGTATGTATCCTCTAAAATACATCAGCTTGATCTTGAACTTTGAGTTGTGCTATACTAATTGTTCAGTTTGGTTCAAAGATTTTTCGTCTAATTTATCATAGTTAATGATCAAAATCATTCTTGATTTTTAATTAATGATTATTATTTTAATGATTATTAATCATGTTTGACAAGAACCTTTTCCAATTAAAATTATTTTACAGAGAAATCCGTACCTGGGCTGCTGAACAATTTTTTCAGATGGCTACCAAATGTAACAGTGGGAATCGACCGTTGCTTTTCTTCATTACTCTCCTCTTCACCGTTCTCTCTGTAAGTGTGTGACGTCTTCCTTTCCTTATTTATTTATTTTCCAGAATAGATTTTGTTATTGTATAGGTAGAATTGTATCATTTTTGAAAATACCTTTTTAGGAAAAATATATTGAAGAGAACTTATAAAAATATTTCTCTTATAGAGAAATATTTTTATAAGTTATCTTCAATATATTTTTCCTAAAGAGGTATTTTCATTGGATAGTCGTCATTTAACAAAATTATAAAAAAGTAACTTATCACTGTATTGAAAAATACATTTGTATATCAATGAATATTGGTGTTGAAGATAAGTTGAAAGTTATTAATCATAAATAATACACATTGTTTTTCTAAATTACAGAATTGAGTATTGTTTATATGAAATGTTATGGTTTTTATTATTTAATTATTTCCAGACAACCGTGAAAGATAATGCCAAGCAGTCTCATGAGTATTTCCACTTGCTATGCAGGTATGCTTATTCTTGATTATTTTTTTCCTCAAGTTTGAAAACAAAAAAATTGCAAAATTTAGCTAGTGAGTTTTTCCCCCACAATATTTGTTAACTCGAAATATTGATAATTTAAAAAATATAAGACATTTAGCTTCAAAGATTTAAACTTGTTAATTTTTTCATCTCCAAATGTTGATAGATTTTTTAATTTTTTTTAACTCTTTTTTTTTTTATATTGAATATATGTATTACAAATTTTGCAGATTACTGAATCATGCCTTTACAAGTGAAGTGAGCTTGCCTAACTCTGAGGTTTTACTCAACAATGAAATTAGCTGGCTCAAGAAAGTGAGAGTATGTATTGAAATATAAATTATTTCATTGTTTGAAAAATAAGGATTTGTGCAATATCTTCAACTACTGTTTCATAGAATTACTCCAATTTTTCATTTATCAGATAATACAATGAAGTTACACATTTAGTTCAATCACTTGTAGGCTTTTCCTTTGTTTTTTTTTTTGTTTTTTTGTTTTTTTTTTTATTTGCTCTACATTTTTTTATGTAGAAGCTGGATAATCGTATATAATTTGCATTCTTTTGCCAATCTTGTTAAAATATTTTATCGCTTCAACTATTGGTAAATTCCTTGCCCTAACAATTTTTTTTTAAAATTTTTTAAGGAACAACTCTTAAGCCAAGGAGAAATCCAAGTGGATAATGCTTTATTGGAGGGTCATTTAGGAATAACCAGGGAACTTCTGTCATTCCAAACTCCTGAAAAGAAATTTCATGTTGGTGCAGAGAAAGGAGGTTTAGATCTCATCAGAGTAAGTATGTCTAATGTATGCAATCTTAATATTCATTTTTCATAAATTCTTTTAAAAAAAGCATAAATTAAAAAAAAAAACATTGAATAAAGACAGGAGAAAAGCAAAATAAAAAAATTAATAGTGCAAAAGAATCTAGCTTTTGTATGATCAATAAAAATGTTAATTTTTAATTTTTTGTAATTATATGGTGCAATGTATTATTCTACAAAATATAAAGTGGATTCTTACATTTGTAATCAGTTAATTCAAACATAAAACTTAAATTTGTCTTATTAATTTGAAAAGGAATAATTTAATGAAATTATAACATCTTAATAGTGCTAGAATGAGTTAACTTCTCTTTGCAACATTATTAATCCATTTCTCGAAGTTTATTAAATGCTGTTTGGGATATTTAAAGAAAAAAATTTTTTTTTTTTTTTTTTTTTTTAAAAAGAAAAACTTTTTCTCTCCTAATTTTTATTTTATATTTAGTATAGATAAATAAGTAAATTTTAACAAATAATCATGTTTTTTTTTTTTTTTTTTTTTTTTTTGAGGCAGAAAATGGCTTCACTTCATATTCTATATGTTTTTCAAATAACAGCTTGATTTACAATATTAACAAATACCTCCTATTCTTATTTTTAATATATGACTGTTTCAAAGAAAGTGGTTGTTTTTCAGGAATTAGTTGAAGATTTCATCTTCCCAGCATCTAAAATTGTGGTCCAGTGTAGAAAATTGAATGATTTCCCATCTGAGCAGGCTGTGCCTGTGTGTACAACTGCAGCAACTGTCACTGCAGCATTTGATTTGCTTGTTTCCCTCTGTACACGTTGTGTAAAGAATCTGAAGTGTTTAGCTAACATGCTCATTGACATGTTCTATACAGGTCAGTACAAATTGTCTCCTCACGATTAACTTGACTTTTTATTTATTTTGCTGTCACATTGATATTTTCTTTCCACACATTAGTCTTAATTTTGCTTATTGGTAAAAATATTAATAAATATGAAGTTATTTTTTTTTTAAATTTCTTCCTTTTAAATGCAATTGAACAATGAAAATTTCATGGCTTTCATAATTTTTCTGTAATAACCACAGAAAATTTATTTTAATAATTTTAAACAACTATTAATAGATATTATAAAAATGCTGCCAAATGAGAAACTATTTGGTTAAGTTTATAAAAGTCTCTAACATTTGTTTATTAATAAAAACATTGTTTACTTAAAATATTGAAATATTTGCATAATATACATTTGATTTTCTTTTACAGGATTCCTCAGTATTGTTTAAACCTTGTGTATTTTGAATTCTAAAATATTTTTGTATAAAAAGGAACAAATAATCTCTTAATTTTTTAAAAATTGTTTTAATTGAACTTATTATTTTTTTAACATTGCTTTATTAATGTGTTTTAATTAAACTGATGCCGCAGTCAAACTATATTTGAATTTTTTTGCTAGTGTAATTTTAATGAAATAATTTGCTTTAATTTTACTTGTGAACTAAACTTGTATTACAAATTATATTTAGAAAAATGACTTTTGAAAAATGATTTTAAAATTGTAAAGCAGTGGCACATAACATTTAATGTATACAGGTAGAAAATATTTTTTGTTTTACTTTGTGTATTTTATATATTAATATTTTCTTTGCTTATTTTTATATAACCATATTGGATATGATTTTTGGCAGTTACTAGTTTTTTAAGGGAAATGTTAAATTAACTACTTGATTCTTGTGTGTATTTTCAGTCCATTTAAAAATATTACAAGCTGAACTAAATGCTACAGAATAATGTTTAGTTTAATAATGTTCCATTTATATTCTAATTAATCTTTGTCATTTGATTCTCAATGTTTTGTTTTGCAATTCTATCTGTTTATTTAAATGATTTTAATTTTTTTTCATTTTCATTCTCCAGAGGAAATGTTCACTTTTTCAGAATTACCTCTTGTTGAATGGGAGTTTGTACCCCCTGTGGGTCCAAGACCTCCCAAAGGGTTTGTTGGCCTCAAGAATGCTGGTGCTACATGCTACATGAATTCAGTTTTACAACAGGTTAGCATACAAATAGAGAACTAAATTTTATCTGAAGATCTTCCTATTTTGGGGTTTATCAAACTTGTTGATTTGGCATGGTAGAGTTAGTATTTTGTGCACCTTCTTTGGAATATCTAAAAATATTGGATTTATTGAATTATGACATTAACATTACATAAAAAATGATTTTTCTTTAATTTTATTTGTATATAATATCAGGTTTGTGTCTGTTTTTTATGGTTTACTAAATTAAAATTCAACATTTTTATAAAATACCTTTGACAAAAAAAACAAAAAAACAAATTACTCATAAATTGTATCATCAGTATATTATGAATAACAATATAGAGAAAAATATTAAATTAATTTTATGTAACAAATAATAGCATGTTTAAATAAATTTTACCTTGTAAAAACCAAATCAAAGAAAGTTCAGCAAAATTAAACAACATTAAAATTAACTTTCAAGGGAGAGACTTTAATGTTTAAACTAGAAAATATTGAATTAATAGATTATTTCTTTAGATCAAGTAAAAAATTAAAATGTTATATTTTGGTATAAAAAGCCTAGTTAAAATTCAACATCTTTTTTTTTTTTTTTTTTTTTTAAAAGAAACAAATACAGATTATGCAAAAATAAAGTTGATAATTAGTGTGTTTGCTTTTATGAATAAAAATTTCATATAGAAGAATTTTAATGTTAAGTGAAAAATGTTAACAAGACCATGTTTTCTAAATTACATTTTTTTTTATTGAATTTCACAATTTTGCAATGAAAATATAAAATAATATAGCATGACTTATAGAAATAAAAAAAAAAAAATTTATGCTTACTTCAATTAAATAAGCTAAAGTTAAACCGAAACTAGAACAAACTTTGCTTCCAGTGAAGCAAGATTTGAAATAGGCCTCTAGTTCTGAGTGAGAAATGTGCTAAGACATAGCCTTAAAGATTATCATATATCAGATGGGTGAGCCATAATGTAGATAATGTAGAAAGCTAGAGATATGAACAATTTATTTGCTGATTTTAATTACTCACTGGAAAATCATGTTGTGTGGTAGATGTTCCTTTTCTTGCTAGTATTGCCATAATGTAACAATGTTGTCAGTCTGACATTACAAAGCTAGTTTTTTTATTTTATTTTTTTAACTATTGATTCATTCTTTAAATGTATTAAGTTTTTTTTTTTTTTTTTTTTTTTGTTTTTTTTTTTTAGAGCATTTTACATTGTGTAATATTTAACTATATAATTGTTTAAATAGCTTTTCTATTACCAAATTTTTAAAATACTTTCTTTGTAGTTATTCATGATTGAACAGATCCGACATGGGATACTGGCCGTAGAGGGTGCTGCCGATGATGTAGAAGATGAATATATAGGAGATGAGAAGGGCGAAAATGAAGTAAGCTTGTTTTAAAAAAAGATTTTTTTTTTTTTACTTAATTAAAACTTTGATTCCTATGTAATGTTTCTAAACAAAACAGTGATCCAATAAATTTTCCTTGTTGTGGTTGAAATTATGGATTCAGCAAATATTGGCTGGATCCCTCTTATTTGTCATCATAAGTGTATTTTTCTCTTATTTGCTGAATTTGCTTAATCTGTTGATGCTCTCTTGCAGACTAATGTTGACCTTGGAGATGAAGAACGTAAAGATGAGGAGAAAGGCTCCAACAAACAGGGAGAGAGGAAAGATTACAATCTGGGTGTGATGAAACATGTCCAGTTGATCTTTGGTCATTTGGCTTGTAGCAAGCTGCAGTATTATGTACCCAGAGGGTTCTGGAAGCATTTCAAGTAAGCTTATCATTTTTTAATCATTCTAATATGAATAAATAGAAACATGTTCTTCATTTAAAGTTTGATCAATCACTTATCTGAAATCCTAGGTTATTAATGACCTATTTTTGCAGATTCTTTTTGCCAACTCTCCTTGTTTAATGATCTATAACATAATGTTAAATTCTATGTGGGAGAATTAAAGTTTAGCTAGTGTCTCTTTGTTTAGCTTTGGTTGATTATGAAAAGGTATTTATCTCAGTAGAACACTCTGACACTATGAGTGCAACACCCATAGAAGAGGAAGGCATGATTTGTATCTATATCTGAAGTCTTTCTGTTTTATGGCTGGCACATGAAGTCTGTGAGTTGAGGTCTTGTAAGGGACACAAGCGCGCGCACACACACACACACACACACACACACACACTTGACTAAAGGGGAACAAAAGAATAAGTAAATGAGAGCTTTTAATGTGAAATAACAACAAAGCTGGACATTGATGATTTCCAGTTGCTGGTCTATATTGTCATGTTTTGGATTGGGGAAGCCAGTTCTGGTTTGGCTTTGGCAGGGGATAGGATGTCTCTTGGGTAGTTCTGATGATGCCCTTCATGTTGTCAGAATACCAGGATGTTCAGATGGGCAGAAAGTTGATAGGATCAAAGAGCTGAGCTGTTTGACAAAACCTAAGTGTCACTTATTCACCTAGATGAGATAGCATTACCTGCTCCAAAGAACATAAATATGACCATGACAATAATGGAAAGAATTTGACAATATGTTTTACACTTAGTGTATTATCAGTGTATGAGGATTGTATAATAAAAATATTTACTAATCCAAGATGTTTATTATTACTATACAAATATGACATTGTGTATGTTATTTATGCTATTCTGCTACTTATCTATATGGTTGTGCTTTTGGTTGATACACTTGAAGAATGTGGTGACAAGTGACTGGAGTCATCTTTACATTTCTGCAACAACAGTGTCATCTGCATGTTATCTACTTTGTAAAGAAAAGAGAATCAAATGGATAATCTGAAGCAGTTAAATTGGGACCATTCAGTGGATAGAGTAAAACATTTCCGCCATATTGCGAGAACTGCTCTTTTGTCAAATGGGCCATGCTTGTGTTGGTATTATACAGCAGGAGAGCACTCGTATGCAAATGTTCTGCTCCTTTTTGAAGAATGGTTTCCCTGTTCAGTGTTTCTTAATATGTTGTCTGACCACACAGAGTGAAATCTATGAGCAGTACATCTTTTTGCATTCCCAGAACATATTTGACATCAATTTCTTTGTTGACTGCTGAGCATTGAATAAGGTAATTGAGGGGAGGCTGTTTTATTTTTTTGTGATTCCTCTAGGTCATGGAATCCATGTTTGTCTCTGAGATCATCTGTGATAACTTGCTCCAGAAAATATCCATCAGCTACCATAGATTTTCAAAAAACTGAAAAGAAATGTGCTGGAATGTGTATTCATTAGCCAATTACTTTGAGACCAATACCAACTTCCTGTGGACAATTTAATGGTTCACTTACTTCAGAAGATCAATTTACACAGCCATAACACAAAGATTGAATTGTCTATCATCTTGAGTTAAAGCTTAAATATGCACAGTGTTGTCCTCTGTTGTTGATGAACATGGACACTCTATATTAGGCTCATTCTGTAAATTTTTATGCCACTCTGCCACACTATACCAGACTGATATCTGCTTCTTGTTAATTATATGTTCATATACAGCAACAAGTTCAGGGTAAATTATTTTTATTGTTGGCCTTCAAAAATTGACCTTGTACCACTTGTTTTCTGTTTTATAAGTGATAAGACACTCAATATTAAAGCTTTTACAAGAAGTATTGAATGCTTCCTGTTGCTTTGGGTTTACAGCTTTCATAATCTTTTAATTCTGGTTGATTCTTTGCAATACCAGCTATGATGTACAGGTGTGAAACATAGCAGTTAACAAAATTGCTTGGAAAGATCAATGAGTGATGCTAGGGATCCTCTTAAATAGAAAATGGTTAGCAACATGGATCAGAGACTAGACTAAGATTATAGATATCATAGACATAGTTGAAGGACATAGATGGAAGTGGGAGGGACATGTAGAAATGAGAAAAAATAAAAGATAAAATAAAAGGTTGTTTGATTGGTACCTAATAGGTAGCAAACAGTAAGAATATCCAGATAGGAGATGGCAAGATCAAATGGAAGGGTTTACTAGTAAGACATCACAGAGAGTAGTAGTGTCATAGTCATTATGCAAGGATTTAGGAAAGTAGACAGGCATGATCTGATAATTGGGGAAAATTATACTTTAGAAGAGTCTTCCAAAAATCTGAACAAATGTAATTTAATTTTTTTTAAAGGGCTTTTTGGTTGGACTAAGAACTTTGAGAACACTCACATATGCAAGATACATGTGCAGTAAGAAAAAATAATTAAAAAAAAAAAAAAAAAAACTACATAAAATATTTTTGGTGGCCCTGAAATTTGAGTGAAATGCTTCTAACTTCACACTGCTTAATCAACTTTTCAGTTAATGAAATTTTTAACTTAAGTGTAATTCATTTGAATGTCTTGAGTTGTTTAGGTGCTCCTACAGAATAGACAAGAAAGTGATTTTTTTTTTTTTTAACATTGCAAGATTTTCATCAAAACAGGTTTCTAAAGTTGAAATTATATTTAAAAAAAAAAAAAAAAAAAAAAAAGTCTATCTTGCTTCCCCATTTTTGGATTGTTGGGAATTGTTGAAAATCTTGGAGCTGAGCACATTTAGTAATTTCAATTTTGTGTGTTGAACTTAAAATTGTGGTATCTTCAGATACAGATCAAATGTAGTATAGAAGGTAAAATTAGCAAACTGCCCTGCATTAGATATTGGGATTTAGTATTGTTTAATAAAGTAACAAGAATTTAATATTTACTTTTTCCTCATTTATTTGTTTTTATCCCCTAGCTGTTTGGAAGTGTTTGGTACATAATAGAGTATTTATATTTACAGAAAAATAGCTGATTATCTTTATCAAGATTGATTAGGTGCTAATATATTTTTTTAAGATGATACTTTTTTTATTATTGCTGTAATGATAGTTTTATATAATTTAGTTTCTATTATTCTCTACCAATTTGTATAACTTCTTTATAAAGTCTTAATCTATCCTTGAGATTATTTTGATATTTTTAAAGAATCAATTAGTTTTGTGAAAGGCTGAAACAATTTTTTTTTTTTTTTTTTTTTTTGGGGGGGGGGTTGGGATTAGGAGATGCTGTTCCTTTACCAATATTTTGTGACAAATGCTTCTATCCTTTAGAAATAGTCCCTTCATTCCTTTTTGTATAAATTAAAAACTCACACAGACATGTTGATGACAATTGAATTTTATAGAAATTAACTTTACTTTATCTAGCTTTTTGTTTTTTTTTGTTTTTTTTTTCCCCAAATGTTTCTATTTAACCACAATTTCAAATTGAAAGTTTTTTGGTGTTGTAGACCCTTGGTAATGTAAATAATTTGTGAAGGGCTCACTTTTTTCTATAACATATACTGTAATCAAAATGCTGAAGGGGTCTTATGAGTGCTGCTTTTAAGTTATTTCAAATTCTTTATAGTTTGTTGCAGTTGTTTCTTAATAGAATTAACTATTTTGTTCTAAGTATGTAATCAGTTGATGCATGAAACTTGTGTAGGTAGAAACAGTTTCATTATTTGCATGTAAAACTTCCTGAAATATGAAATAATTTGAGAGTAATCTGATTTTGGAGTCCTTACTATTTAAAAAGTAGGAAAGAGCTGATTTTTATCTCATTAAGATATGATTTTTGATTTGTGTTGCTTTTAATTTCAGGTTGTGGGGAGAACCTGTGAACCTGAGGGAACAACATGATGCATTAGAATTTTTCAACAGTCTTGTAGATAGTTTAGATGAGGCCCTTAAAGAACTTGGGCAGACAATGATTCTAAGCAAAGTACTTGGAGGATCATTTGCTGACCAAAAGATATGTAAGGATTGTCCACATAGGTAAGAATTATTATTATTATAATATTCTATTTTCAGTTCTTATTGTGTTTGTTTTAGAGTTCTTACTTTTGACATTTTGCAACAACTGTGAAGACTACATTACTTAATTCCAATAGTGATTTATCTGTCCTATTTTTTCTCTTCATAAGTTTAGATTTATTTTATAACAATTAAAGATCTCCTTTTAGAGTATTTGCATAGAATGGTGGTTAGTAAGATAGTCTTGAGACAATTTACTACTGTAGAGGGTGCAGTCCTTATAAGTTGCCTTGTTCTGCATCCCTCTGCCAGACTAAGCTAGACTTAGTAAATGTCAACAGTGGAAAATAAATTTCTCATTTTAATACAAAGTCAGTATTGATTTCAAAATAAGAAATAATTTTATTGCTAGAATGTTAAAAACAAAAGCATAATTTGGACTGCCATAGAATTAAATTGTAATATGTTAAAAATTTACAAGAAAATATGCATTTCTATCCATCCTATTGTAATACTTTGAAGTACTCTATCAAAGCTTTTTTTTTTATTTGTAAATTTTCTTTTGTTTTCCAGATATCAAAGAGAAGAAACTTTTACAACTTTAAATGTAGATATTCGAAATCATCAGAATTTACTTGAATCCTTAGAACAGTATGTTAAAGGAGATCTTTTAGAAGGTGCAAATGCATATCATTGTGAGAAATGTAATAAAAAGGTAACAAGATTTCTTTTTATAGTCAACCTGCAAGAAAAATGTAAAAAGTCATTTATTTACTGTATTCATAGAAATGCTACTGAATTTACTATTTATTTGAATTAAGTAGCTTAATTTATTATAATTCTGTGGCAGTAAAAAATTCTTTTAATTTGAAATTTTGTGGCTTAAAATTTTAATTTGTGAAAATTATCCACATATATAAATATGCAATGCATATTGTTTTTTCTATATAATTTTGTGTGTGTTTGTGTATAACATTTTCTTACATTGCTAGAAGGGCCCAGTGCATAGAAATGGGGAAAATTGGCCCACTCTGTGGAGTGGACTATTCAGATAATAAAGGAGAAATTCCACTGCATGGTTTATACTAGAAATATTGTATTAAAAAACTCTTAAGTTGTGATTGACTCTGTAGATATATACTTTTAAAATGATATATTTGGTGATTGTCCATTTGATATTGAAAATAGCCATCTCTGCACCTTGATTACACATCTCTTGTCATTGCTCACTCATTGGCTTTGCAATAAATATTAAAAACAATAATGCTTTTGAAAGCTCTATTACAATGCTGACAAACATATTATTTTGGATATTTGTTTCCTGTTTTCATAATTGATATTATGTACCTTTCTTGTGCCTGGTGTAGACAGACTTATTTTTATGCTAAAATCAAGATGATCAGAGCTTTGTAGCTGATTTTTTTCTGACCTAGCTTTAACATCTCAATGGGAAACTAATTGGCTTGTAACTTTCTATACCTGAAAAACCAAGCTAGTATTTATCATAACATTTCAAACCCTGAATTTTCTCCAATTACATTCTACTCTCAACTCATTTGGAACAACATGATGCATTAGAATTTTTCAACAGTCTTGTAGATAGTTTAGATGAAGCCCTTAAAGAACTTGCCTGACTTTCCACTTAGAAATGAGTGTCTGTTGAGTAATATGCATATACCTCTATTCATGGTTTTTGCTATCATCTCTAAACTCTATCCTCACAAAGCATGTGAGCTTGATGGTATCCCTGCAGTATTCCTTAAATGTGTTCCTGAACTGGCTCCTGTTTTCTATAAACTCTATAATAAATGACATGCTGCTTCTTGTTTTCCTGCTCATTGGAAATCTTCTTCTGTAGTTCTAGTCTTTAACAACTCTGGCGAGCCATCTTCTATTGGCCTATTAGCCATCTACCTCTTTTTGGCAAAGTAGCAGAGGTTCTAATTAACATCTCACCTCAGGGTCTTCTTTCAGATAAGCAATATGGCTTTTGCTTTTCTAGGTCAACTGCTGATATATATTAACGACTATTGCAGCCAGTATATCATGCTTTATATAAGAATGGGTTTGGCATACAGGTCTTCTTCACAAGTTGAAAGGTTATGGTATTTCTGGACAAATTTTTGAACTGATTCAATCTTTCTTATCAAATTGTGAAATGAAAGTTGTCTTGAATTGCCACTCTTCTAGATCTTTTTTCATTAATGCGTGTGTTACCCACAGTCCTATTCTTGGACCTATATTGTTCCTAATTTTCATAAATGACCTTTCTAATGTCATCAGTACTTGGCATCTACAGTGATGACACAACTATTTACTACTGTTTTAATAGTCTGATTGGAGACAAGGTCTCATCATTTTACAGTTGAAATGGCTAGATGTAACTGTAAGTTCTGTGCTAACTCCTCACTTGTGGAACTCTCTTCTGGCTTCTTGCTTTCCAGTCAACTTTAACCTTTAAATTTAAATGCAATGTCAATCGTTATCTTCTGTTCTCAGTAACCCCTTGCATCTTGGCAGCTTTATTGCCTTGCTTGGGGTGAAATGATTAAAAAAAAAAAAAAAAAAAAAAAAAAAGAAAAAAAGTTACAATGACTGACTGGCTCCATTCTCAATGAGGTGCCATGCTTTGGATGTCTATTGAGCCTCATATTTACTCTAGACCTAAAGTAGAACTTGTGTGTGATTTTTATATATATATATATATATATATATATATATAATCCATTGCTAAAGATTCTGGAAAAAGGATTGCCTCATTTTATCTCTCTCAGAAGTATCTGACACTTTCTGCCATGCTTAGATTAAACCAAAAATGGACTGTTACTGCCACATCTAGGCTAGAGATGCTCAATCCTCACTTTACAGACTTGATAGAATTCAAAATAGTTTACATGAACTTTTGTGAAAAACCTTATTTTACACTATGCAACATCTTTTCCACAGACAAAACCATGCTATCCTATTGCTATTCTGTCACTATTTTCATAGCAAATGTTCTGATGAACTTCATTCTTTAGTTCCACCAATTCAGACCTTTACAGGTAGGACATACCATGTTATTTACATGGAGTCAAATCCTCTAAATTTTCTCAGTGTTCCAAATGTAAGTAGAAAGTTCTATTTGGATAACTTTTTCCCCCCAAGAACAGCAACTTTATGGTGTAGATTCCCATGTGGGTGTTTTGCTGAACACTTCATTGTTGACTTCTTCAAGTCAAGGGTCAATCATCTTCCCTCCTTAATTTTCACTTTCAACTACTTTCATTTCGATTCAGATCACACACCTTGTTCATCATTACCATTTTAATTGCAATCCTCTACCCTGAGTAACTCTTAAGCCTTGTATTTGGCAGAATTTTAATATAAAAAAATGTCAATGTACTCCTGTTGATGGTGACTTTTCATCTCATCTTGCGATAAGCTGGCATGGATGTATTCTTCATAAACCCACAGAATCACAGCTGTCAATACAATTTCTCTGTTTTGTGCTTGATGGATTTTTCAGTATAGAAAAATGCTCTAGAATGTAGAGCCTGTTCCCACTTTGTGCATTCATCTTTTATGATTGCTATACATAGACTGAATAGAGAAATATAAATTAATTTCATTTATAGCACGAGAACAAGGCAGAAAATCAATTATCTTAATTTATTTTTTTAATTTTAATATCCAATAAGGATAAACAAAATATTTTTTCATAAACAAGCAGATTGTAATTGCAAAGTTATTCAGATATGTGTATACACAGGTTGATAGATATAATACACACTGTTTAAAATAAAAATGGGGTGTCTGTTTTAAATACAAATACCCACTAATAATAATGTTTGAAGTAATAAAACTGTCAGATTAAAGGTAAATTCATTAGTTATTTTCATATATAGGGTTGTCTGGAAAGTTCATGGAAATTTTTAAGGGAAATTAAAACACAAACCAAAATTATGACATTAAATATTCATTCAACTAAATATGAACCATTTTGTTGCATAACCTTTCTCTATTTTTCCTTCAACTTATATTCAATCTTCCCAGAATTTTGGTGGTTTCTCAGCAAAGAACTCATTACAGTGGTTTTTATGTCATCCAAAGAATTGAAATTTTTACCATTGAGATTATTTTGCAAGGACCTGAATAAATGGAAATCCAAAGGAACAATGTCTGGTGAATATGGTGGTTGGGGTAACACATCACAGCCAAGCTTCAACAATTTTTGCTGGGTTGCCAAAGAAACATGAGGTCTGGCACTATCTTGATAGAAAGCAACACCTTTCTTGTTGGCCAATTTTGGGCGTTGTTCTTGAATTGCGTTGTTCTTGAATTTAATTTGTCCAGTTGTGAACAGTACTTTTCAGAATCAATTAACTGCTTACTTGGCAGAACCTCATAGTACAGGATTCCTTTCCAGTCCCACCAGATTCACAGCATGACTTTCTTAGGATGAAGACTTGCTTTTGAGGTGGCTAAAGTTGGCTCCTTCCACTTTTCCCAGGATCTTTTTTGTTAAACATTGTTGTAAATGATCCATTTCTCATCACCCATCACAATTTGCTTAAGAAAGGGTGCATTTTCATTAGGTTTATGCAGCAAATCACAGATGAATTGTAATCTAAAAGATTCTTTACATTCATATTGTGATACACAAACATCATAGCATTTTGAGTACCCAAGCTTTGCTATGTGCTCATGGCTGGTGGATTTTGATTTCTGCATTGTGTAATGAGGGTTATTTTGAATCAATGTCTTGATTTGGTTGCCATCTGTAGTGGGTTGGGGTGTTGCCTGCCTGAGTGTTCTTCATTGATTAGGCTACAATCACCAACTCTAAAATTAGTGAACCACTTCCATACAGTTCTGTCAGCTAAAGCACTTTTACTGTACACAGCACATATTTTTTGTTGCTTGTGAGGAATTTTTGCTTTATAGTAAAAAAGTGCCTAAATTACACGTTTATAATCTTTCATTTTCATAGGGATGCAAAATTGACACAAATTTAGTAATTTTAACTTCCTTTCTCAAGAAATTTCAAGTATGCTCTAATTGGAAATGTAAGCATATTATATCTGTTGATAAGTTTGGTGTGTTCTAATTGTGTTGGAACATGAATGACTAAAAAAATCAATATGAACTTTCCAGTAACACCTATTTTATATCTGTATGAAGTTGGTTACATATATATATATATATATATATACACACACACACACACACACACACACACACACACACACACAGTGTAACCCGGATATAAGAGGGTTGTCGGGACCGGAGAAGAAGTCTCTTTTATCCGGGTTTCTCTTGTATCCAGGTTTGGTCTATTTTGTTTACATTAACACAGGCTCTAATTTGAGACCAGAGAAAATCTCTCTTATATCTGGGTTACACTATATATATATATATATATATATATATAATATAAGCTTAGTAAAACATTAAGGTTTTGTTAGAATCTACATTCTGTAAATTATTTTATCAAATTTTATTGGTTTTATTTCTATGGTAAATAAATTGCAAAGTTTTATTTAAGCATTTTATCTCAGTGATATGTTTTTTAATTGCAGGTAGATACTGTTAAAAGGCTCGTGATAAACAAATTGCCAAAAATTTTGGCTATCCAGCTCAAAAGATTTGATTATGACTGGGAAAGGTAAGTTTTCTTGTTTATGCTACTTTTTCTTCTTTTTTGTGTATTTTTCCATTAATAGTTGTTAGTTTCTTCTGTTCTTCTATTTTCATATTTACTTCAATTTTTGTTTTGCAGAGAATGTGCAATCAAATTCAATGATTACTTTGAATTTCCGAGGGAGTTTGATATGGAACCTTATACTGTACAGGGTTTAGCAAAAATTGAAGGTAATTTTTATATTTTCTTTGTGTTATGTTAAAATTTTATATATACAGTTAATAGTTTGATGAAATGTGTCTATTTTATCTTTAAGATACAAAGCTCATTGTTTTCCATGTTACTGTTCATATTATGTTAATGATTGATGATTATTTTTATGCTCTTTTCAAAGATAAAATTTTTAACATTTAATATTCTCACATTAAGAAAAAACTTACAACATTTTTTCACAGATGAAAATAATTTTTGTTTTGCTTACAAAGGTTAATATAGAAAGAATGGATAGTTTGATATTTATTTCTTAGTATAGTGCAGGGTTCGTACAGGTCCTGGAAACCTTCAAAAGTCTTAGAAAATTGACATTGCTTTTTCTAGGGCTTGAAAAACTCTGGAGAAACAGTAATAGCCCAAAAGCTCTTTGAAAAGTCTTGAAATTTTCTAAATTGGGCTGTCCACACATCCCTTTTCTCAATTCACTAAAGTCAAAATGCCAAATCCCAGAAATCTGGCTTTTTTACAAGCAAAAATTGTCCATTAAGAAAAATATTTTTAGTTGTCAGTAATATTTGGCAATTATTGCAAATGGTAGTTGTTTCCTAGATTAGAACAAGGTCATGACCTTGTAGTTACTTCTATATTTTCTCATCTATGTAATGAGAAAGAAAGGGTGAAAGAATGTGAAGATATGTCTTCTAGCAGCTCCCCTCACTTGATAAAAAAAAAAAAAGATGAAAATGCGTTAGAGACAAATAAACATCTCTGTCAAAGATAAATTAATTTACACTCACTGAATTTGTAGTTGAAAGGAAAATAAATTATTTTACAGTAATAAAATGTTTTAGTAGAATCTCTAAAATTTTAACAATGTTTTTTAAAACTTGAACAATTGAAGAAATTTTATTCACATGTCAATTTCAAAAGTAAAAAGTTATTTTGATTTCTAGTTGGTGAGTTCATGCTGAAAAAAATAGCTTCAATGTGTATCTATGTAAACTACATTTGTCTAAATTGTCATCAACAGTAACAAGTTTGAGAATCAAATTTGACTCAAAGAAAATGTAGAAGGGAAAGTAGATAGAATAGAAAATGTATCTTTGATGTGTCTTAGGATAGAAAATGCGTCTTTGTAAATATAAGAAGATTGTTATTTTTTAAGTTTGCAGGCTAATAATGACCTGTATCTCTAGTTTTTGTTGTAAGTGAAAAAATGATGAAATATATTAAAACTTATTTGGCTTTTATTGCTTGGCTTAAAATTAAAAGTTAAATCTGGCAACCCTGTCCCTTTACATTTGTGTTTCTGCCATAGATGACTAGAAAATGTACAAACATGTGAATGACTCCTAGACATTTGGCCAGATGTCATTAAATTTTTGAACTTAATTAAGAAACAGAAAAATATCCCCAGTCCAAGTCCTCTGCGATGGTGTCAAACATGAATGACGTTTATTTCCAGTGAAAATGCAGATTTTTGTGTCAGTTTCAAAAAACATTGAACTGCTTCTGATAAAATGATAAATCATTGCTTACTTTTTTTGCAGATGATCATTTCAGCTAGCATGATCATGAAACTGTTAAAATTTGTAAAAGAAGAGCACACTAAAAATGTAAACTAAAGGAATTTGTAATAATTTTGTCATACCCAAACATGCATAAAGATGCTGCAAATATCAAGTGTGGATTTTTGTTAGATTGACCCATGCAAAATTTATCCAAAAAAGGAAATGTGTCAACAAAATATCAGTTTGAAAGAATATCAAAAACTGTGCAAAGTTGTTTGCAGATAACTGGTACTCTCTTATGGACAGGTCTCAGTGGAGAGAGGTTTCTCAGTCATTAAGGAAATTTCCACTGACAATATGAAACAGCAGGCTCTGGTTGCACAGTGCATTATCATGGACTATTTGACCACAGTTGGAGGTGCTGGGAATGTTCCAATGACTAAGGCACTTCTCTGCAGTGCTTCCAATGCCAGAACAGCATACAACCAATACCTTGAGGCTGAGAAGAAGAAAAAGCAGGAAGAAGCAGCTGGACAAAACTGGAAATCCATGCTTATGGAAATTGAAGAACTGAAGTATGAAGATGAACATGAAGTACTGTTTCTGTCAACACATCATCGCAGCTGCAGCCACTTGATTAAGGCATCATGAAATGTGTGAAGGCAATGTTCACCCACCTTTATTGTTACCAGGATTCAATGATATTATAGTTCATGTGTGCTGACATGAATTATGGAATCATTGATTTATGGAACAACTTTACAACTGTGGATGTAATTAAACTTATTGCTGAGTCTGTTGAGGTTCTAAATCCCTAGACTGTCAATGCCTGCTGGAAGGCATTTTGGAGTGAGGCAGTCAACAACTTCAAGAGATTCCCTACACTCGGTGGTGAAGTAGATTTTGATGGTTGAAAGAGACATTGGTAGGAAAAGCTTCTGATATGATCGAGGAAGATGTCGAACAACACATTAAAGGGAAATGAGAAATCCTGACTGACAAAGACCTGGAAGAACTACTGAAATCACGGACACACAAAAAAAAGCAGAAGCTGCAGTGGCCCATCTAACACTGGATTTTGGAGAAGTTATCAGCATTTTTTCATCAGTTTTGAAGGATGTAATCAAGGATTATGAATCTAATATGGAATGAAACCTCTGTATCGCCATAGCTGACCACTGCAATAGTTGTTTGATGAAGCTAAGAGAAAGAAGCTTCTGCCTAATAACTATAACTGCTTTTGACTCCTACAAAAATGTAATTGTGAAGCCATATTCCACTTGAAAATCCTCAACAATCTCCAGGGAACCTGACATCATATTTCCTCCAAAATATTGACATTCATAAGGACTTTTATATAATTATCTTGAACATGTACAGTTTTTAAATAATGCAGGGATGGACAAGTGATTGTATAAGGTGAAGACCCATTGTATATTTTATTTAGTTTATCTGTTCTTAATGTTTGATATTAACTTTTTCAGGAGAAATTATTGATGCTGACTGTGATGAAAAGGAGCAGAGTACAAAGTACAAATTGGTTGGGGTTGTGGTCCATAGTGGGCAGGCCAGTGGTGGACATTATTATTCCTATATTTTACACAGGTAATTTTTTCACTTATTTTCAAAATATGGATCCTTTTGTTCAAATATGAGCAAATTGTGTAGCATAATTGATAATGGTGAAGGTTAGATTTTTTTTATTATTCTACTTCAATGATTAATTGAAGATTTTCTGATTGCAACAATTAAGTAATTTCTTTTGTCACTTTTTATTATAATGTTTTTATTTTTGAAGGTAGGTTATTTCATTTCTTAGACTTTTAGTAATGCCTTTGATGTGACTAACCATTAGTCCCAAAAAGGGAGATTGAACCGAGGAGGTCAACTATATATCTTTTTGCTATATGTGAGACTTGTTTCTCTTTGGTCAGATAAAAAAAATCAGTCTATTACTTGGAAAGAGTTTTTTATGCTGATTCACTTTTTAAATATGACCACACCTTTTATAGGTTGAGATAAGTGACAGACATATAATATTTAAACATATGACAGAGAAAAGTCATATTTTAATATGATAGTCATTGGCAATGAAAATAGTGTCTTTATCCAAAACAGCTTTCAATATAAAAGCTTAAACAGTATCTATCAGAGGATCAAAAATATTTATTATTATGATTTATTGGAACCGAGATGAACTGTTAGTATACAATGAGCAATTGCAAAAGAAAATACATGAATTCTGCTGTATGACAGGCTGTAAATGCAATGCAGCAAACAAATTGAGATAGATCTCCGATATACAGTATATTCTGTAGACTTGTCACCTTCAGTCTATCACTTGTTTTGCTCCATGCAACTTTTCTTGTTTGCTCACCTGTTCCAACAAGTTAAAGCTGTTGAAAAAGTTCCACAAAGAGCTCATCGGATTAAAAGGAATGTTTATGATGGCTTACACAATTTACCTTAAAAGTGATGTAAGATTATATAAAACAAAGGAAGATATTTTGATAATTGAAAACTTGCATTCATGAATTGATGTGAAAAAAGGTTTTGTATCAGAAACGTTGGAAGCTTTTCCCTATGAATTGTGTTTAGATGTCATGCAGCATTATCACTTTTGGGTGCTCAAGGTGATAACTGTAACACTTTGCAATAACAATTTCCTGCCATCTTGTGGTCAGATTCATTATTCATGCTCAAAGAATTTCCTGTTTTTACTGGCAAAAAACTCTTCCAGGTGAATTTTTACATCCCCTTCAGAGTTGAAGGTCTGTCCATTCAATGAATTCCTAAGAGATTGAAACTGATGGAAATCTGAAGGCCTAAAGTTGGGAAAATATACAGTGTGTGGCAAAACTTCCCAGCCAAGCTCCAGGTACTTCTGCTGGGTACTGTCTGACAATGTCTTGATTAAAGACAATGCTCTTATGATTAGCAAGTGCTGGACACTTCTGGTGGATTGCTGTGTTTAATTTGTGTAGCTGGTTACAGTACACATCCAAATTGATGGTCCTGTCCATAGGAAGAAGCTTATAAAAGACAATACCCTTCTAATCACACCAAATTGAAAGCTTAACTTTCTTTGGGTGAAGTCCTGTTTTGGAGATTTGTGGTGGTTTGCTGCCTTTCGTTTGCACCTTACATTGTTATAGATTACCTATTTTTTGTCCTCCTGTCATTATTTTCTTTAAAAAAAAAAAAAATCATTTTCTTCACATTTCTGCAACATATCACAGATGTAGGACCAAAAGATTGAACTTCCTGACATAACCAAGTTGATGTTGATGGGTTTTTAACACTTAATTCGAGTATTTGGAAAATATCTGTGATAATCCTTGTCATATAATGGAGGTTGGTGCTTGCAAATTCCTTCATTTTGTTACTGTTAATCCCAGTTGGCTGACCAGAGTGAGGTGCATCTTGGATAATTTCCTGTTTGAAACTTCTGGTACACATTTTCCATAATTGCATCCTCTCCATGTACAGGTTTCTGCCACTTTCTGGCTTTTTTTTTTTTTTTTTTTTTTTTATAAGATAAAAAAAAGCATGAACTGTCAATAATGTTCATTTTGGTTCTTCATTTTTCAAGTGATTCCAAGCATACAAAATACAATCTGTCTTGTTGAACCACACTGAAGTGTCAAGTATCTCATGAGTATTCATGCACAAGGGACAGACTAAAGTTAGTTATTTATTAGTACTTGAAATTTAGTGTTGACAAAAAAAAATGAACAGACTTTGTGGCCAAGCCAATATTTTCCATGTCTTGTAAGAAGTGAAATGCACATAATGATCTGCTGTCCAATGCTTGAGTCTGATAATTCATGTTAAACCCATTTCTCAAGTTTTTGATTCTTTCTCATATTGACCTGTGATCTAAATATTTCTCATATCTTACAAAATTTCTTAAAAATGTTGGTTCTTCAGCTAATTTAAATGTTGAGTAGAATTGTCATTCAAAAGAGTGTGCAAGTCATCACTTCCCACTTCTTGTGCTCTACAACTGTGTGATTTGTTCTCCAAATCTTTTTTTGAACTTGGTAAACTATTCACATGTATTACTGTTGTAATGGAATGTCCCATGCTCCCTATTGCCTTTGTGGACTGACTATCAGTAGCTATATATAGTGAGCACAGGATATACCTGGGGGATTGCTTTAGCAATTAGTTGGAGATTTGTCTCCATCTAAGCTAGTTGAACTCTCTGTCTTCAGGCAGAGAGGAACCCAGATGAGGTTATGCTGAAGGGCAGTCCCTCATCTGGGGTGGTAGACAGCTACCCAGCCCCGTTTTTTACGGGGTCTATTGGGAATTTTTGCCCAAGCCTATGGGCTCAGATACCCCACGTTAAATTCGGCCTCGTGCCATATCTGACCGCATGGGGCGGTTGGCAAATATCCTTGCTTTGGGAATTACTAGCCTGCCATCCCCGTCTTTCACTAGTGTATTCTCTTTTACAATAAACCTCTCTTTTATCTATGCGTGTGTTGCTGTTCCTTCATTCTGCGTACCATCTTCGTCTGTTTGTAATCTCTTTGAGAATACAACAATTACTTCCATGTTTATCATCTGTATTGACTTCATTGATTAACCTTTAAGTTTCTGCTGTTGTCTTGCCCAACTTGAAAAGCAACAAAATACAGTTTTTTGCACATGCAAAATACAGTATCTTGCACATGCCATTTTTATTCTTTTATGCACAAAATAAATGAACATTTGGTTTTCAAAAAAGAAAGCACTGGAAACCATTGCATACACTTAATATAATGAACATATTTCAAAATTTATCTGTTGAAATTCAAATAAATATCTGAGAAAATTATATATGACTTGCATAATTAATAAATTATCAATCTGATTAGATATTTTATTTAAAGTAGTTTAATTATAGTGTCTTTGATCTAATCTGTATATAATTTTCAATAGCTGAATTTGCCCTGCTCACTATTTATCCTGTCTGAATTATATGATATATTTGATTTATGAAAATATAAAAATATCTTTTAATATATAGAGGTGCTGAAGATGTCCATCCAAAATGGTATAAATTTGATGATGGTGATGTAACCGAGTGTAAAATGGATGATGATGAGGTAAAAAATACTGAGAATTTTTGTCTTGTATTTTTGATCAATTTCTTTAAAGCTTCAATAAGATTCTCTACAAAAGTATACTTCCTCATAAAAAATAGGGATCGGGGATTAGTTTTGTTGTATTTTATAGAAAAAATTTAAATATATAAACTGTTTCTATGAATTCTCATCTTTTATTTTGTTGGGTAAAGTTAACGTATATAAAAATATATACAAAAAATATATTGAGTTTAACTGCTCAAAGAAATATAATAATAGTAATAAAATCATTTGCTGAGGCATATTTTCAAAAGACAAATGAGAAAAAATAATTTCTCTGCATAGTATTCAAAATTGAAGTAAAATGTATTATTTGTGCTTTCATATTTCACAATTCTGATGTAATTGTAATTACTGCTTATGACCTTACTACTTTGATTCTTTATGAAATCATTTTATTCCTTTTACTAAGTTAAAAAAATATGTTTAAAATTTTTAAAACTTAAATGATTTTAATATTTTATTCATATGAAAGAATTATTGCTGAGAATTTTATCTTATTTTTTTTTCTATTACAGGAGATGAAAAACCAGTGCTTCGGTGGTGAATATGTTGGAGAAGTGTTTGATCATATGATGAAGAGGTTTTTATATTTCTTTCTCCCCTCCTGGCTGTTACTAATAAAATTTTAAAATATAATGAGGTTGATATTTTGAAATGATTGCAAACATAAAATTTTCATGTGTTTGAGAAATAGAATTAAAAAAAATTTGTATCACTGCATAACAAAGCAGTAAGTATATCTTGACACATGCCACGTTTTCGTATTTTTATGAACTAAACAGAACACAAAACTTTTCACTTTTATTTAGTGGTATGACAATTTATTTTTCATTTGATATAAAATTTTTAGGGTGCTTATGCTTTATAAAGTAAATGAATCTGTTTTCAGGATGTCTTACAGGCGACAGAAGCGATGGTGGAATGCCTATATACTGTTTTATGAACGGATAGAACCACAGGATGAGGAAAATCAAATCTCGAAGCGATTACAAGACCTAACCGGTAGGTTTACACCAAATGTCTCTTTGGAGATGTAGGCAAGAACTTTTCTATCCCTGTAAAGAGATAAGATATTTTCCTTTTTATTTAGTTTTTGAAAGGTATTTAGCAAAGCAAAGAAAGCCAGAACTGCAATAATCCTATAGTTAAATTGACAGAAGATCATATTAAAACATTGTTAATACATAATCTCATATTGATGTAGGAATAACTTTGACAGCAAGCAGTCAGAGGTTTCTCTTTTTAATAGTTTGCATTTAATTGTATATTCTACTACTAAATTTTGTTTTTGTATGTAAATTGATATTTTCATTTAATCTTTTCTTTTAAAAGCAAAATTATAGAAATTTGAATTATTTTTTATTTATAGATTTAATTTTGCAGTAATATATTTTCAGTATCTAAACAAGAGAAGCTGAAGATGCCTGCTGCAATAGAGCGCTGTGTCCGGCGGCAAAACATCCTTTTCATGCACGAGAAGAATCAATTTTCTCCTGAATATTTTCAATTCATGAAGAAATTTCTCATGTGCAATGCTCCGTTTCTGTCCATCCCATGTCCACAGGATAGATTGGTGAGTTATGTAGGGTTTTTGTAATATACATTATCTTACATTGTGCCTAACTTCTAGTTTATTAGGAAATTTAGATGTTCTATAAAAATAATAAACATTACATTGTCAGTTCATTCTCTCTCTTTTACATACACACACACAATAATCTTTATTTTTCACCTTTGTCTCTTTCCTCTTTTAAAAACTTTTGTTTCAAAATGTAACAATTACTTTATCAAATAATAATTTGCTCAGTAGGATGTATTAATATTAATTTAAATAGTTAAATTATTCACACGGTTTTATGTGTGTGTGTGTGTATATATATATATATATATATATATAATTTCCAACAGTATCACTGGGAGTACCTATTTTCTTATTCAGATGATTACTTTTATGGATTAGCTATTTAAATTTAGCTTAAATGTGATTTGAGATAATTCCAAAGATACAAGGAACTTTTAGCTCACAACATTAACTCAATTGCATTCAGGACGTAGAAATATATTTCTGAAAAAAAAAAAATTAATATTGCTTTTAATGCTCTTGCTCTTGTTTTAATTAGTTTTTTTACTTAAATTATGAAATGTCTTTTGTGCCTTAAACTGGATATATATATACAAGTAATTAACCTCCTCTTACCAGCCTCCTGATGCTGAACAAATGGCTTTGATTAGTGTTGAATTGGGATCTAAATTTCTCTTCACTGTTGGTTTTCATACCAAGAAATCATTACGGTAAGATGCTATTCATATTAGAGTTTTTTTTATATATTAACTATTTGTGTGTGGTTATTATTTTAACTTTTGATACTGCTTAAGTTAGGAAATGATTCATTTGTATTTCATTTTGATTAACTTTTAATAATCATGAACAAACTTAAATCTGCAGTTTTTGATTGTATTCTGGTTAGTCTATACAACTCTTGCAATTGTAAAATGTTTATTGCTTTGCTAGATGTTGTCTTATTGTAATGTACTAACTACATGTCCAGAATGATCACAACTTCAAATTTATTTTTTCATTTGTATAAAATTATTCCAAAATCTAAACCTATCTTGTTAGTGTTTAATGTGAAGCTCCTAAATGTTTTGTTTTGCTTTTAGGGGTCCTGCAAATGAGTGGTATGATGCTCTCTGTATACATATGAGGAACAGCAAAACTGTGCGCAGCTGGTTTGTGCATAATGTGCTCTTTTCTCATACCAGTCGCTTTGCAGAATATTTGTTGGAATGTCCTAGTTCAGAGGTGTGTGGATTTTTAAATTTCTTCTTTAACAGAATTCCTTATATATTCAGTAAATTGTCTATTATGAAATTATTATCAAGAGCTTCAGATGAAAAAAACAAAAAAAAACAACTTATATTAGATTTTCTCATTTTGTAGATACTGATAAGTGTCTTAATTATTATATGTATTTAGTATCTAACTACTTTCATGTTTTATAATGAGTTACTAAGTGCATATTGAAACTTAAAAAAGTATTTGTAGCAAAGATTTTTTTCCAAAACATACTTTGACAGTAGTTTAAATTTGAAAGTTACATCTAGAAACATTTTTGTTTTAATTATTATTAAAATGTATAAACTACTTGAATAATCTTCATTTGTAATTTTCTTTTTTAGGTTCGAGGAGCATTTGGAAAAATGTTGGTTTTTCTTGCTCATTATACTCTTCAAGATGGACCATGTGCTCCCCCTTTTGTCCAGGGCCTTTATGGTTAGTAACTCTTGAAACAGTTGACAGATCAGATTTTCTATTCTATTCAATGACCTTTAGTAACATTTGCCAATACAGAAAAGTTCTTGCCTAAAATATTTTGTAGTATTTGACTATTATTTCTGAGTTCTGTATTAAAATCTTTCTTAAAAAATTAGTTTTGACATTCATAAACTTTTTTGTTCCTATTTCATCTTGTTCTTTTTTTTTAATCATAGTCTTTTAGGTCAATACATTCATTGATTATTAAAATATGCAATATAAATTGGAATTAAAGAAATAGTTTTCAATAAGATTTTGGTTTTGCATACCATATCCTGGGAGCATCTCTGACATGGATATTGTTTTACATATTTGGTTATGGAGGTTAAAGGTTAAGTAAAGCTGAATCTACTGTCATATAACTATATCTTCATCTGATATTTTTTACTATCTAGTAGTAGTAGTAGTAGTCGTAATAAAACTGGAGAAGGCAGTGAGAAACCACTTGATTATCTTTTCCAAGAATGCATAGCAATTTATAGTTAAGAAAGAACTGGAAACTCTGAAAAACTATAATTGTCTAAAAAAAAAAAAGAAAAAAAAAGTAATCCAAAAATATTCCAAATCTTTTAAAATGCGAAACTTTAAAATCTTACTTTTCTAATGGAAAGTTAAGAAACAAGATAAACAATTAGTTTAAAATATGATAAATAAAAATACATATAAAACACTAGAAAGTATTCATTTAGAATAAATACTATTTCCATATTATAGATTTTAATGGTTTTATGCCAATTTTAACTTAAGAATATGTACTATTAGAGGTTTTTTACCTCAAAATTTTAATTCTGAACTTTTTATTATGAAATAGAACCTTCCTGCATTGAATTATATAAAATTATTTTATAAATATAATTGTTACTTTGTTGCATTATATATAGAATTGATTATTCATGATTTTCTATTTCAGTACATGTGTTAAATAAAATTTTAATTTTATCATTTAAGGAAATATCATTAAATATTCTTATCTTTGTGTTGGTGAAAAGAAACAGTTGTATTATGTAATGAAAAATGGCAATATTGATGATATAAAAATTATATATATATAATCCTATAAAAAAAAAACAAAAATATACTCTGAAAAGAAATGTATTTCTTGTAAAGAATTTGGCTGAGGATTAAAATGTTTTAAAAAGTACAAAAGTCAATTTCTAACTTATATATATTGCTTTAAGTATTGCAGTTGTAATCAGATTGTATAAAGATACTACACTGATCTTTCAGTATATCTTTTGTCAGCTTACTATATGAGCACGACGGTGAAGAGTTTCAAGAAGGGATATCCCACTAAAATTCTGAGGTTTCATTAGTTTAGGAAGTGGTTTAGGCTGAAAACTTGTTAGTATCCCTTTTGTAGAACTATGGTATTTAAACTTTGATCACATTCTTTTTAAAAAAATAGTTCTGATGGGACTGCCATAGAAAGTGTTGGTACTATCAGACTTAAAGAGCTGCATCTGTTTATCTTGGGTAACAAATTTGATGAGCTATATAGTGAAATTTCATAATATTTTAAATTAAGAATGAAAATTGTTTTGCTTCATTGAGTTTTTTTCCCCTCCAATAGGACAAGCAGCTGATCCCAATGCCACTCTCAGTGATCACCTGCTGCTGGCAATCCTTAATCTGCTGAAGAAGGAAGTATCTGAACATGGTAGACATCTTCAACAGTACTTTAATCTGTTTCTCCTCTATTCCAATCTAGGAACTGATGAGGTAAGAGAAAACTTTTGATTTTTAAAAATAACTTGCATCATCACTTATTTTCAAATAAAAAAAATTACTTTAGTATGATACTCTAAGTTTTGAAAATAAAAAAAATTCTTATTAATTTTAGGTTTTTCTATTACTAAATAATATTACTTTTGTTAACCAATCAATTGAAAATGAATGATATATTATGACTTTATTTTCTAAAATTTCTATCACTTTTATTAACAATTAAGTAATAAACTAATAATGTCACTACTTGTACATGGTATATTTACTTTTTCAGAAACAACAGCTGTTGAAATTAAATGTTCCTGCCTTGTTCATGTTGGTAGCTCTTGATGAAGGGCCTGGGCCTCCAATCAAATACCAGTATGCTGATTTGAGTAAACTATACTCAGTAGTTTCGCACCTAACGCGTTGCTGTGATGTTTCAGCAAAATGCCAGTCATCTGTCAGTGTAAGTAATCAAAAGATTTTTATTTTAAAAATAATATGAATACCAGTTGTGGTTCCACTAAGCAAATTTGAAAATTATTTTGACTTAGAAATTTACAAATAATACATAAATTTTGCCACTTTTTAAATTATTGAGTTTGTATTATTAATATTTATGAAATTTTCTTTCATAAATTAGAAAGTTTACATAAGTCTAGCAGAAAAAGGCACATGAGATAAATTTGTTAACAGTTGCACTCATATTTTGTCATAGTAAAATATTTTTGCTGTTTTTCAATAAACTGTGACTTAATTTATAATGCCTATTTTCTGTCTTATACAAGCATAGATTGTTTGTCAGTTTCATTTACATTTCTTGAATTTTTAAAAAGTCTGAAATCTGTTTGGTTTTTTGATGTCTTTTTCAATTTTTTGGCTTTTTCCATGTTCATAAAAAATTAAAAGCATTGTGGAAATTAACACACCAATATTTAAAATAAAAAGACATTCAATTAATTTCGATGTCCAGTTAAGATGTAATAAAAATTTACATTTATAGTATATTAAATTTTATTATTCAAGTCAATGTTTTCGTAATAAAATTGTTTTTAAGCAAAAGGTGTTGGTAAATTTTTCTGGATATATTTATATGGACAATATGTAAGTTAATAATGTCTATCCTTATGAAAAATGTTAGCTTCTTTCAATGTGTTAGGATTTATCATGCAAAGTGCAACATACATTTATTTATAAATATATCCAAAAGAGAGTGAAAAATGTTTGATTAACACAGTATCATATATACCTGAATAAATTATAATTTTTCATGTTAATATGGATTCCTTGACATTCTATAATTTTCCTTAGTCAAATCAGTCTTATTCTTATTGATTTTGTTAACTTCCCTATTGTTTCGACTTTAACATGCAGCAGTTTTTATTGCTTTTTTGAGATCTTTGCTGAATATTGTTTGCATTTATAAAGATATTTCTTTAAATGACTGATCTCAATTTTTCTACTGGATTATTATCTGGTCTGGAGAGGCTTGTAGTAATTTCATTAATTTGGTGTCTTTGAAACTTTTTTTGGTAAGGTGGGCAAGTCAATTGTGTTGTTTAACTATTTCCAACCTTCAGCTCAACCATCAGATTTAACTAATGATATTCTACATTCATCACAAAGCATTAGTACAACTTCGCTCAGCTTATATGTCTCTCTTTGTAATGTTTACTTAAAGGTGATTAGTTTGGTTGCTTTCATGTCTTTAACCAATGTTCTTCATATTCTGCATCTTTTTTTTTTTTTTTTTACCCTCTTATTTAAATATTTTCTTGCTGGTCAATCCACTTTCCTTGTTTATCCTTTTCATTTTTCTCAAATCTTTCTTTGTGAAATTCACTTTTCTTTCTTGTCAGTGTTTTTATTTTTTTTCATTTTTTTTTTTTTTTTTTTTTTTTTATTGTTCTTTGATCTCTGGAAATTGTAAAAATGCTGAACAATGTGTTTCATGGTGTTCTTTACTGAAGGTCAAGTCATAGTGCAACTCACCTAGAACCGGAGACTTACCTCAAATCTGGCCGTTCCATTGGGAGCGGAGGTTTTTAACTTTGGTTTTGCCTTGTGTTAATTTATTGTTATAGTCAGCTTAAGAAATGTTTACCTTCTACATTTGGAATAACTTTAGCTTATTGAAGTATATTATTTCCTTTGGACTTGCTATATTATTTTTTCGTTTTCATTTCAAACAAACTTTTTATGAAAAATTCATTAAAAAAAAATTTCATTTCAGAAACTTATGTGGAAGTTAACATTTTTCACTTGCTAACATTCTTTGAGATTTTTATTCATAAAAGCAAATACACTAATGATCAATTTTATTTTTGCATAAACTGTATGTCTGTTTCTAACAAATGAAAAAAAGTATGTTGAATTTTTACCATACTTTTACTGAAATGTAACATTTTAATTATACTTGATTCAAAGAAATAATTTATTAATCCTAGTTTTTCTTACTATAAATGTTACAAAATTTCTCTCAAGAAAGTTAATTTTAATGTTTTATGTTTAATTCTCTTCGCTTTCAGTGGAATGACAAGTTCTGAGCAAGAGTTACGACATGAGTCGGTCTTTAGTAAAGAATGCTATATGTTCCCATCATTCAATAACTATACAGTATCTTCTTTATCTTGCAGTTATATTTTATGATCCATGGCAATCTTTTTATATGTAAAAGTGAACATTGAGGTCAGCACCAAGTGGTGACAATCTGTTTCATGCCTGAATGTAATCTTCAGGCCGACTGAAGGTTGCATTCAAACATGAAACATTGTTGCTGCTTAGTGTTGACTTCAGTGTCCACTTTTACATAAAAACTATATTTTTATTTTATATATATATATATATATATATATATATGTGTGTGTGTAATGAAAATTAAAATATTAATACTATTTTACTTTTAAACAATATGAACAACCTTTGAGTTGTATAATAAAAACGTACATCATCAAATAAGTTGTTTATTGGAAATATTTCTGATGAAAAGAGATATAAGGTTAAATTCATGTTTATATTTATTTGAATATATCTTGAAAACTTTGCCAACATTTGTTAGTTAATACCAATTTTTCTGTGAAAACATTAACTTGTTTAATAAAATCCGACAGTGTAGTTTAAAAAGAATAATCAAGTAGTGCCAGTTTTTTAAACCACTAATATTTGAAAAAAAAAAAAAAAAAAAAGAAAGCAGTTTGTTAAAAATTTGTTAGCATAAATAGAACAAATGCAATGAAAGACTTGAAACTTTAAAGCAAGTGCTGTTTTGTTAAAATGTAACAAAAATTAAAAAATATTTAATTTGTCTTTCAATTTCAATGACTTTAACCTGTCAGTATTATTTATAAAAAGAAATGTAACTGACTCATTATATATATTACATTAAAGAAATAAAATGAAATATCTTAGTATTCCAAATCTAATTTTATTCAAATATTCAGTGAAAGTTTGGTGTTGATATGTTGCTTTCCTGCTTATTTTCGAATTGGATGTTCAAATAAGAGCATTGTTCACTCAAATTTAGGTGGACAAAAATGCCAAACAAATAACATTTAGCTTTTATATAAGATTATATTATATCATTTGCATACATTGCTATTTTTTTGTGCAATATTTGATGATTGTATTCTTATTAATACAATCAACAAAAAAAATGACTGCAATTGAATATTAGCATAAACAGCAGTATACCTACTTTTAAGCTCAAACATATTTTTTTTTCATTTTTATTTTTTTATTTGATCTTTCGTTATAATGTATAGGCAGTTCTCTGAATTTCTATCCACAGTTAACAATAATTAAGAAATTTTTATCTTTTTATTCAATTTTATTCAGTAGCAAAAATTATTTTGTTCATTTCTTCATTTAGCTTTTGCAAATTGCTTCATTATCTTAATTTTGAAAACATTTTTCTGATCTTGATTTCCTCTTTATTTCAGGGCTCAGCTCCTATGTCTAACCCTCATGGGGATCCAACATGTGGTGCACCTCTCATGCCAATTCAAACTCAGGTAGCTGATATATTATACAATAGAACAAGTTATGTTAAGAAAGTCATTGAAGACTGCAACAATTCTGAAGATACCACCAAATTGTTAAGGGTGAGTTATGAATAACTTAGCATTTCAATTAAAATCTGTTGAAAGATACCATTTTAAGATTAATTCATTATATTTTACTTAAACTACACATTTTTGTTTCAGAAGTTTCCTTGTAAGCTATGCAATATAAATTTTTAAAAACTGTTTTCTTAATGTCTTTAATTTTAATTTCAGTTCTGCAGTTGGGAAAATCCACACTTTTCTTCAACGGTTCTAAGTGAATTATTATGGCAGGTATGTTGGAGTAATTTTTGAAAAAAGTAGTCATCTCAAGATTTCTTATTTTATATTATTTTAATGACAACATTTTAGCAATATTGGTCAATGTGAATGTTTTGGCATTTAATTTACTAAAAAGTTTACCTACAGGACTAGGTTCTCTTATCACTTTATATTATTGCATGTTTTTACAATCATTAATTAAAAAAAACCAACAAACTTTCAGTTTGTTGTGGCAAACTTAGACAATGTTTATATTTATTGGAAGTAATTAAATGTGACTTTCCAGAAAGCTTTTAATGTATATGTAAATAAGTTATTATATTGAACTGATAAAAGAATCTGAATAGAAAGGAACTGAATTGTTCTTTTCTGAAATCAGGACAAAATTAATCAAAGTTTGCCAAACCTAAACAACTATTCTGGAATAAGTGTGTAAGATTGAATGATTTTTTTACAGGTACTCTTGGTAATGCTCAGGAAAAAAAAAGAAAGTAACAGATGACATTTACTTGTGAATTATTTCTCTGCATACCTGTCAAGTAGCAGATCTTATTTTCTCAAATTTCAATTTTATATCTCTTTACCTTATTATTAAAATTAAATAAATTTTAAAGAGATGAGTGAAGAAATTGTAAAGTTTTTTTTCCCTGTAGAATTACATTTTTATGATCATGTGAAAAGGGTTATACATGTATTTTTAGAAACACTCATATAAATTAACATATTATTATTCCTTCTCCACTCATATGAAGTAGTAATGTCTAAGCAAATGTACATTGTGTAATCAGAAAATAAGGCAATTTTATTGAAATTGTTATTATACCTAAAATGCAGTAATCATTTTTCTTCTCTTTTTCAGGTTGCATATTCTTACACTTATGAGTTGAAACCCTATCTTGATTTACTCTTTCAAATGCTTATGTTGGATGATTCCTGGCAGAATCATCGAATACACAATGCTCTAAAAGGTATGCTTCTGTAGATGATTCTCAAGCATTTCTTTTACCCTATTTCAGGTGTCTAATTCTTATTCATGATTTACATTATAAATTGGTGCAACACGCACCAATTTATTATGTAAATCATGCTATTAAAAAAAAATAACTGAAATACTTTTGATGAAATTCTAGTAGTAAAATGATTTTTGATCCAAAATGATTGATTCTAATCTAATTGGGAAATGTAATTTTTAGTAGTCAAATTAATCAATACTATCTTATAGTCCTATGATCAAAATAAACTTTCTAAACCTCTCTTGAACTCAATTTATTAAATATTTGTCAAGATAAATTATAGCTAATTTTAAAAATATTTTCTTCAATTTTATTAAATTTGTGTTTTAAAATACTGTTTAAGATTATAGTTGATTAATTTAATATTAGAAATGTATACTTTAATCCTTAAAATTTTGTTTAATGTATACTTGGATTTTTTTTACATTTCAAGTTTACTTGAAATAACATTTTAAATCCTTATGCTACTATTGTATTTAACCAAAGATCAACGGGAGATAATTACTACTATAAAACTTGGTCTCTTTCCATCATACTAAAAATTTACAAAATAGATTCCTTAGTTAAAAAAAAAAAAAAATTGTCATTTTCAACCAATAATTTAAATTATTTTTGAAAACTAAACATTAGATTTATTCACCTAGATGTTCATTGATTAAAACTAGGTATGCTCACTACGAATTTGCTGAAAAATGAAAAAAATGCCCCAAACTTGCTGAAAACTTTCGTTTTATCATCAAAATCTTTATTGTTAAGAGGAAAGACTAAAGTAATTTTTGATTATTTTAATTTTTTTTTTATCCTTTTTAGAACATTCGAAATTTTGATTAAAAATTTAGTTTTTCTTGCATCATCATTGTAAATTAGCATAGCAAATTTTAGCATCTCTCTCTTTTTTTTTTTTTTTTTTTTTTTTTTTTAATACAGTGAAAGACATTAATTTGGAAATTCTTGCAAAAATCAAATAATTGTTGGATTTTAATGAAACTTTAGGACTTAATCACAAATGAATGAAATTATTTTAGAAATGTTTTGTTTTTTTTTTTTTTTTTTCCTTAATAGAAAGTCTTGGTAAAAAATCCTTCCCCCCCACCATTTGGAAACTTCAGAAATTCAAAGGTGTAATTTTTATTAAGTCTTTGAACACTTTAAATCAACAAATTATTTTTTTTTTCTTTTTTTTTTAAATCTGACTAGCAGTTACCGAAAATCTGCTCTGAATTGTAAAATACAAAACACAATAAAACTAAGACATTATTTAATTAGAAAAGCTTTCAACAACTGCTTTTATGAATAATATATGTTAAGGACAATATTGCCTGAAGCAAAAAAATTTTCTGATTAAAAATGAATATTTACAAGAATTTTATCATTAAAAAGTCGCATATTTTAAGATTTCATAACCGAGATAATATAAAAATTAATAATAAATAAAATACCTAAAATTGCATAAGAGATGTACATAAAAATTATAGGAATTATGGAATTTTATGTTATATTAATTTTTATATTATCTCAGTTATGAAATTTTAAATTTATTTTATTGTTATAGTATTTTAAATTTTATTATTTTCCCAGAAAACATCTTCAAACACAAGGCTATAAAGCTAAAGTATTAAAAATCAATAAAATATTAGATTGCTTAAAATATTTGTTAATTTGTAAAAATTACTGGGTAGTTAAATAAGTTCACTTAAAATTCATAAAATGTATGTCACTTCTGTTTATCCATCGAATAACTTCTAATCTCAGCTGTCTATGTCAATTAACACTTCAAAAACAAGTCACTGTGGTTAAGAAATGTTTTTCTTATTTTCTACTACATTTTTGATGTTAAAAAAGTATGTAATGTTTATTTCAAATTAGATTAAGTAAACTTTAAATTTCCTAATTTTCCTCAAATGACCTTTGAAAAAAGTATTTTGTTTTTGTAAGATATTTAAAACAGAATTAACTTTTGTTTACAAATGTCTTAAAAATGACAAACCACCTTGGTTTCGCTGTAAACAAAAAAGTAAGTCTATTCCAATCAATATAAATTCGGTTTTAAATATGCCAAAGTATATTGCTTACTGGGTATATTAAATTTATTCCCTTACCTTTTGAATTAAAGCTAAAAAAGAAAGCTTCAAAAAAGATTTTTCATTTTCAAAAATGCATTTTAAACTTCAAGTATTGTGAATCTGTGAACATACCTATTTAAAACTATATGAAAAATAAAATTAGATTTCTATTTTGTTAATATCAAATTTTGTCTTTTCCTTTGGATTGTAGGAATACCTGAAGACAGAGATGGGTTATTTGATACAATTCAACGGTCTAAGAATCACTATCAAAAAAGAGCATATCAGTGTATTAAGATGATGGTCCTGCTTTTTACACAGTATGTATTTTGAAACTACTTTTACAGTTCAACAGTGATTTTAATGATAAAATTTTCACTCTTTAAAGGTCAAATTAAAATAAATAAAATCTGTTTATTAATGAATTCTTTTTCGTGTGTGTGTGAGAGTGTGTGAGTGTGAGAGAGACAGACAGACACATGCCCAAATCATTTTTTCATTCAAACCTAGTTTTCTTATACCTGGACATGACTTTTGTTATAAAAAATGTTATTTTCATACATTGGTTGCTTTAACTTCTTGTTCTTACAGTCCTTGAAATACTTTCTTTTTAGCTGTGTTCCTGCATCACAGATGTTACAAAGTAATGGTGACCTAAAACGTAAATGGTCTTGGGCAGTGGAATGGCTTAATGATGAACTAGAACGGGTGAGTTACTAAAACATAAACTCAAGTAACCAAAATTTGCTAAACAGTCTTTCAATATGGAGATGCGCATAGCTCTTTTCTCATTAAAAATAAATATATGGAAAGACTGCATTTATGATATAGATATTTTTCTTTTATTATTCAAATTCAATTTTATATATATATATATATATATATATGTGTGTGTGTGTGTGTGAACTTAGAGTGCTAGTTATTTTTGGAATTAAAAAAAACTATTGTGTGTATATATATATATATATATATATATATATATATATATATATATATATATATATGAAAGTAATACCTGATTTCTTTCCTATTCATTTACTTGAAAATCAGTTTTAAGTGTTTTAAAATTTTATATTTTAAATGATGATATTTCCATCAGACATTTTTATAAATTAATGAAAGCTCTCTTGAAATTGCTTTTTGAAACCAGATTTTTTGTTTTTACTGTAAAACAACTTATTTATATTAATGTTGCAGAGACCTTATCCTGGCAATGCCCAGTATACTTACAACAACTGGTCACCTCCAGCACAGTCTAATGAGACATCCAATGGGTAAGTTTTCAAAGTATTCAAATACTTGCTAAAATAATTGCAGGGACCAATGTTTAGAACATATTAGAATATACATTAATTTTAATGGCTTATGTTTGTGAAGAGTTCTAAATAAAATCAATGCCAAATTACAAGTTTAAAAAAATTAATTTTAAATATTAACATGCTCAGTTTTAATAAACTTTGCTGTTAGCTCTGACAATATTTACTATTTTATATTATTTATTTTATGAAATTTTTCATTAATAAATTATGCCTAATGAAAACAAAGTTGAAAACTAAAGTTGAATAAAATGCATGTGACCTTAATTTTTTTTACTGGATTTAATATTCTAATTAATATTGTTTACTTGTATTTTATGCTAACTTTTCACTTAAATTTCTATTTTAGTTACTTCCTTGAACGATCTCAGAGTGCAAGAACTACTTTGGCCAGAGCCTGTGAGCTGTGTCCTGAAGAGGTAAGCTTTTACTAGTGTTCTGCTATCATTCTCTGCATGAATGTTTTAATCCTTGAATTACTGATTAATAATAATAATGATGATATTAATTAGTAGTAAATACATGATGGTAACTTTATACTCTTTTTAATATAACCCATTCCCAGAGTATCTTTTTGATCTTAAAATTATTAAAATTGTCAAGTTGAATAGTTCAGATGTTAAACTTGAATAATAGAAAATATTTTGTTGGCTGCAAATATAACCCATCTGGTCCTGTACTGCACCCTCTTGTTTTGTTTCATCAGTCTGTCATTTCCTGTCTCAATATGATGTTACTTGGCATTGGTTAACCCTAACTAAAATTCTTTGAACTTGGCTCCACTTATGTTGTCTATGAATTTGTTGGTGGCAGTAGTAGCAACAGCACGAGTGGAGAGGATTAAAACTGAATTTTGCCTTTTTTAGTCTCTCTATCTCTTGACTGAGATAGTGTTTTTAAATAAACATAGAATTCTTCTTTGGAATTTGGGGAATTTTAAAAAGACCATAAATCTTGCCATACTGCCACTGAGGCACCTGGGTAGGTTAGGGGAATCTAGTCTTAATGAATTTTACTTGGTTTATTTCAGGTTTAAATCTTCCTAGAGCATTCTCTAAACTCATTTTATATCTTCTACTTATTTTAAATCTTTTTTCCTCAATGCTTGGTTATTATTTTTCAGTTTAATTGTATTTCCTGCTTCAAATCGTCATTAGTCATTCTTATGCATGAAAATGTTGAACCAGGCTTGCCACCCTGTTGTATTCCTTCATGAAGTAAAACGTTGAACCAAGATTACCATCCTATTAGATATTAAATGAAATTAATACAATTTAGTATTTACAAAAAAATAAAAAGAAGGAAATAAATCAATACAAGGGAGACAATCATTCTTTAAGCTATATCAGGGGAAAAATGCTTGATTTGTATTGGTGTTTTGTTAGTTACCTGCAAGAAATTCTGAAACATTTCTTAAACACATTTTTAGAGAAAAAAACTGAGCATAAAATTTAGAAATTATTTTATTTACTGGTTAATACTTTTAATTAATATTTTAACAGTGTTGTAATTTACACAGCTATTAAAGAATCAGTTAGAAGTACTAACCTAAAAGGTTATAGTTTCTAAAATGGGTTATTTTTTTTTAAGATTATCTTTAGTAGATCACATTCCCAAATCATTCAAAACTGAATGTATGTCTTCAACCATTTAGGTTTATTTGCATCCTGTAAATTTCCATGAAGTAAATTTGAAACCTATCATCAGTACATAATGTACTTAATATATTCATTGTTTCTGTAATCATTACCTTTATTATGCAAGATTTATTTTACAAATTACATCTTTGTTTTCATGAGTATTTACTAAACTTTGCTTCATGTGGTACACAGCATCAATATAGAGTATCTAATGAGAATTGAATTCACGGGTGAGTAGTTTGTAAGGAGGCTAATTTGCTAACTGTATGCAAATATTTATATAGAATAACATCTGTTTTTCTCCTTTTTATTCTGTTTATGTAAGCACTTTTGTAATTTTATTTGATATTTTAGGAGCCTGAGGAAGCTGACCTGACTGATGAGCCTGAGAGCCCTCACCCTGATGACCAGGTTCCAGTGTACACTGGCCAAACTCAGCCACCAGCCCAGACTCAGACTCCAGCTCAGGCCCAAACTCAGCCACAGTCACAGTCTGCAGCACAGACTGTGCCTCAAACTCAAACCCCACAGACTCAAGTACCACCGTCAACTCAGCAGCAGCAACCGCCACCCCCACCCCCACAACAGCAACAGCAGCAGCAGCTTCCATCTACATCAGTGACTGCATCTAGTACTTCATCTCCACAGATTCTAGATCAGCAGTGCCCTCCGCAGCAAGCTCCACCTACGCCCCCGCAGCTACAGAAACAGCGCCCACAGCATATACAGAACAATCAAGTGAATGTTCAGCACAGTTCTCAGCCTGGACACCCAACAAATCAAGTTAACAACAAATTAAATCAACAAGGAGACAACCCAGATACTGGGGAGGATGAAACTAATCACGACAACAGGAGTCCCTCAGAGTGAACATTATAGATTGGATGATGAATATGAAACCAGGCTCAGTTTAATGCAAGAAAAAAAAAACAAAAAAAAAAACAAAAAACGCAGCAAATACAAAAAAAATAAATATAACAAAAAATTAAAAAAAAAAAAAAAAGGTTTAGTCATTAGATAAGTTGCCATTCTTGAACAATGTTTGGCTGGTTGACTTTGATAGAATGATGAAAAAAAAAAAAAACCCCAAAAAAACCCACAATCAACAATGCACTTGTACATAGCTATATCAAGAGTATTTCTTTTTTGAGTCCTGTATTAAGTTGGATGTATATGAATCTGTAAATACTAAGCAGTATTGACTTATGATATCCAGCCATAGTTGTCTGTCTTTCACAGATTGGAATATGTACTGAGGTCATGCTTCATTGCTTTGCGGTAATAGGTCCTTTTTTATATAAATTAATTGATACACAGAAAACAAAAAAAAATCCTATTCAACATGAAAAGATGATTTAATTACTAAACTTAGATATGTGGAAACAAAATTCTGAACCCCACTCTCAAATCCCCCCCCTCCCCAACAACAACAACTACTATCATCCCATCACTCTCATAGGAGAGATTTGTGTAGTCAGTGTTAATGCACTGTCTGATGGTTATGTCAGTTGCCTCTTTTTATTTGCTTTGATAGAATGTTGATGTGAGGTGAAAGGGGGGAAAAAGGCTGTATCTTCAGCTTCCCAACTTTTACATCAGCATATTGCCTTGATAATGAAAAGTGCCAGGTTACCACACAGATATTTATGAGGAGGATCTTTTATTTACTAGGCCTTGTCATTATTATTATTATTATTATTGATAATGTTCTGTTCTGTTCTGTTTTGGGGCCATGAAATTTGGCAAGTTTCCCATTATTACATTTATTCTGGTTACATAATTGGGAGGGAAAAGGAAAGAAGCAGTTTCTTTCACTTTAATAATGAGAGGAGAAAAATAACTTTTTTGTGAAGAAGAAAAGTCGATATGCTTACTCTAGCTCATTATTCCATTGGCCTTGTCCATCCGGTGTGATGTGAGGCTTTTGATGAAATGTGATCAAGCAGACTTGTAGTGATGAACAAGCCCTGAGAAAACACCCCCACCATCATGTAGGTTACCAATGGTTAGCATGGGAATTTTATGTATGGCTTAGGGGTAGGAGTGAGGTTAGCAAATATTGCCTGTAGTAGAAGAGTGGGGAAAGGTCGGAAAAGAGACAAAAAATGTTGTGGGTAGAAATAAACTTCAGCCTATTTGTTAGTCCTGAAAAAAAAATATTCAAATTGATAAAAGCAATTTTATTTTTTATTTCTTCTCTTTTTTTTTTTTTTTTTTTTTTTTTTTTTTTACACTGCTGCCCGTCATTTCCATAGCCTTTTTGCTGTCCTTTCCTTCATACATGCTGAAAGATAGGCTTACAAGACTTAAACAAAATGAAAAAAAAAAAAAAAATCACAAAACCTGAAACTTTATTCCTTGATCTGCTTAATTAAAAAAAAAAAAAAATCTTTGTTCTATTTCCTAGTCAATATTTCATGGTCATTCTGTCTGTAAAGAAAAGGTCCCTTTTAACCCCATTTTTCCATCCATACTTTTTTCTTACAGGAAAACATGAAGCAGAACATTAAATGACCTGATAAAATATTCTTTGACTTCAAGGACGGGAGAAAGAAAAAAAACATGAAGGAACAAACGACTAAAAATAAATAAGTGCTGAAGAGGAGGAGGAGTATGGCTCAAGTTGTACATTGTGCATATCTATGATAATACCTTGTAATAAACTGTTTGCTTGTTACAGGTTTGAGGTCCTCTTATTTAAGATTTGGATAATAAAACAATTGGACTTCATTATGATAATATTGATGAATGTGCACTTCATCTTGGCCTTTTTTTTTTTTTTTTTTTTTGTTTTAAACAGGAATCACATGTTGAATATTTATGCAATGCTGTATCCAACCTGTTCAAGGTGATAAACAAATTTTTTGACTACTATTTGTATTTGGGTTGGCTTCAGTTGCTGCTTTCACATACTATTATTGATTTACTTTGATTCTTTTTTTAATTTATTTTTAAAGTATTATTTTGTTTATACATTTCCCTTTAAAATGTGCTTGTTCTTGTATGCTACGTTTGTCAAACTTGAGGTTTTACACAAGTAGGTTGAGTAGAAAATCTTATTCTTGTTAAGAATGTAAAAAAAAAACTTTGTGTTCATTTAGGATTAACAAATGACTCTTAGTTAAATGATAAAGGATTAAATGAAACCAAAAAGTTACTTTTAAACATCTATCGATAAAAGAAACCATTGACTATTTATAATTATTCATTTTCCCTACATTTAAAAAATATTTTGTAAAATATTAAAAAAATTCAGAGCAGATACAGTTGGAAAACTATGTATTAAAGCTTTTTTTTTTTTTTTTAATGATTTTTTTTTCAGCTTGTCTCTTCGAATATAGAAATATATTCAAACACCCAAATTTCTCATTCATCTGTAAGTATTTACAAAATTGTACTGACAATTGGATAATGTATCTCCATAGTTCATCTCAGTATTGCATTGATATTTTAGAAATATAAAAATGAACTGAAAGCAAGTTATTGCAATGTAGTTGTAGACCATTTAAAAGTGTAGGAAATTGCTCAAAACTAACAACACCTTATAAAGGGTGTTTTATTAACACGGATCAGTCAGTAGTAAATAAATCAGTGTTATTGGTGAAAATTATGGCAATTATGTTAGAAAAATAATATCACCCAAATGTCTGCCAAGACTTCAGCAGCATACCTCTTCTTGATGGTCAAAATTTTTGATGATGTCTCTGCATAGTTGCTTCTCGATCTCACCAATATACCTTATCTCATCCTTCAGCTGTTGAATTGTTGTTAGCTTGTTGGCATTGACCTTACTTTTGAGATGACCCTAAAAGAAATCTAAAGGCGTCAAGTTGCATGATCATAGTGGACAATTGACTTCACTGTTTCGAGAGATGATGCAACCTGGGAACTTATTCAAATCCTGTTTGAATGTCTTGTTTCATAATAGGCTTTGCTAACATTGTTTGATCGTTAATCTTTCCATGGTTGAAATTGCCAAAACTGAAGTTGTTAAATTTGAAAGAAAAAGAAAAAAAATCATTAAACGCTTAAACTTAATTCACATTTAAAATCAAAGTTATTGGAATACCCTTTATTAAGCAAAGATATAAAAAAAAAAACAAAAACAAAAAAAACCCAAAGAAACTAATGAATAACTTAACTCATTATTGTAGCTTGTAAAATCTCATTGCTGACAATGTTTTTTTTATTTAATACTCACTGAAAATTTACTCTAATAAGATTATTTTTCCATATCTGTCTATATTTCTGAGATGAGATATTATGTACACTATTTATATTATTCAGACTGTTGTCCGACATCTTTGTCACCATATTTATTACGTTTTGGCCATCGTACACTCCAGCCTTCAGGTGGTTGGAATGTTGAACTGAAGCCTTTATTTCGCTCACTGGGGTAGACTGTTCTAGTTCCACGTGCCATGTCTAATCCTGTTAATTCCCCTCTCCAAGTTCTCTACCACCATAACCAGGTATTGAACTCACACTTTTTGGGTCCTGTAACTAGATCTAACTAACGCCTTTATCGATTGTGCCATGTGACAGGACCCAAAGAGTGTGAGTTCAATACTTGGTTAAGGCGGTGGAGAACTTGGAGAGGGGAATTAACAGGAGATAACTGATAACTGACATCCATTAGACATGGCTCATGAACTAGAACAACCTACCCAAGTGAGTGAAATAAAGGGTTCAGTTCAACATTCCAACCACCTGAAGAAGGCCGGAGAGTACAACGGCTGAAATGTTGTAATAAATATTGCGACAAAGATGACAATAATCCGAATAATGTAAATAGTGATTATTTTTCTGTTAACTCCATATAGATGGATTGTTTTCTCATAATCTAATCATGAAGAATATCTTAAATTTATACCTAATACAGATTTCAAATTTGAATGTTTCTGAAGAAAATAAAAACTAAAAATGGAAATACTTTTTTAGCTAGTTAAATATTTGGAAAAGAACTTTATTCAATTAAAGCCTTGTATTGTAAGAGTTCCAATTCTTAACCTTTCATTTTTCCCTTCTATTTCTCTGGCTAGAATTTATCAGAAAAGTTTAGTATCTTGTTAAACCATAATGCAATGTGAATAAGGATTTTTTTGGAAATCATTCAAGTAGCTAGTCTGTATTTGATAAAATTTTTTTAAGCATATTATTTCTTGACCTATATAACTTCAAGTAAACCTGTAATTCTGAAATTTCAAAATATTAACTACATTTTTCAAGTTGTGTTTGCCAGTTCTTTGCAGGACAATCTTTGCCCTAATAGTTAATGAAGACCATCAGCTTTCAATTTTTTTCCTGGTTAGTCATGTAACTGATTGAGCTTGCCAACCCTTGATCATTAACACATCTATCAATACACCTATCACTTCTCGACTGATACACCGCACTCTCCCAGCTCCAAGTTCTCTCTCTTCTCTTTTACTCTCAGTTGAGGCTTTGTTGAGTAATATTGACTTCATTGTTATTTGGCTTTCTTTTCTCTTGTTGATTGTAGCCTGGCATGTCGTCTTAATAGGGTTGATTTGGGTTTCACAAAATCTCACGATATTGGGATTGATGGTGAAGTCTAGTGTGAACCCCATATATACATTGTGTACTGTAGGCAAGATTGCATAAATCCTATCTTCTGTGGTAAACTTTTATCTAGGTGCGTGTTGAAATTTAGGCTGGAAAAAGAACTCCTTCAATGAAATGCACAGCACTGTTGATAACTCTAATAGCAGGTTTATTGAATATAAAGAAAAACTGGTTTAATAAAATGTCCCTGTTAGCAACTGTAAATCAAAATATTCTGCTGCAGGAGTGGTGATTTGGATATTCTGGATGCAGCCATTAAAGTGATGTACACTCAATCAATTCTT